GTACCCAGTGAAAAGATAATAATGTAAATTTCTGGTTTGAGAATTTCGAAGCAACTTGCTGTAATTTCTCTACCCCCCTAAGTTATGCAAAGCTCATTAACTAAGGCATATGCACCTTGTTTACATACCGACCTAAACACTTACGGAAGGTACACGGGTAACCTTAGGTACATGTAATATTTGTAGACTGCCTCTTACTTTCAAAGAGGCACACATCTCTACATTTATTAACTCTTAAGTAAGCTACTTCCTTATTTTCTTGTACAAGGGCAAGAATACTAACGGCATTCAATATCCAGGAAACTGAGGTCATCCCGTGGTTAATAGCAAGGCAAGAGCAGGGCAACAATAGTCTTAAGGCAACTACTCTAGACGCGACGAAATGTTTGATCCAATCTATTAGGTACCTACACATTGTCTCATGTTTGTCTTTCTCCTTCTCTCCTTCTTCCCCTTTCATGTTTTTTTATTTTTATTTTTATTTTTTACCTCAGCCTCTAACCATCATCGGGACCGTCCCTCCCTACGTAGAGGTTTCGACTTCGGTAGATGCTTCCTTGCCAATAGACATCGAGCACCAAGGTCTTAATTGCACTAACCCGGTATTCCAGGCACGATATCTCCTCAAGCACTACCGACTACCGAATAGGTTTAACAACCAGGTAGGCAGCTATGGGCGACTTCAGCAGCTCCGATGCTGCCGATACTCAGGTAAACTTTCGCGCGGCGGTCACTTAACGATTTCTACTGTGTGCTGATAATAGTTACCTACATATAGCGCGAGTTAGACATCATTAAGCACCATATCAACTTTGACCAGGACCGTCCACCTCCTCCTATCCCTGGTCAAGCATGGCTAAATTACCCCGAATTACCTACGAGTCAGGATCTCAACCCTGATTGGGATGATGCGGAGCAACTGGCCGAGATACAAAATCTTCTGCCTAACACATGGAGAGAGCCATGGAAGAACAAGAACACTTACCTCGAGACGCATTACCGTCTCCAGAGGGAAGAAAGTATTACTATGCTACGCCACTCGATTAGAAAACTAAAAGATGAACCTACCATGATGGATGACGGAGAGACATGTATTTACACAAAAGTAAGTCAAGCCTCATGCGCCTCTCCTAGAGTCGCCAGGTAGCCTTACGTGAACTAACTAGTCGCTCGTCTGAAGGTTTTTGTCAGAGGGTACTTGATGACCCGCCTTGGTCCTATGTGCCAGGTTCAATTCTCGACTGAGAGATCTGGTAAGAAGATCCGCTGGGGTCAAACCCGACGACTCACGGTCGGAACTTTGGTCGCCGTATCGACCGCAAAAGATCATTTTAAGACGATTTGCATGCCCGCTATCATATCGGAACACCGAATTCGAGATGGACTCGACCAAAACCCACCTACAATTTACTTTCAATGGGCTAATCCTAGCGATGCCATTATGGATCCGAACCAAGAACTCATTATGGTAGAGACACGCTATGGTTATTTTGAAGCTGTTCGTCATAGCATGGTTGGCCTACAGCACGTAGCTACCAACCAGACCCCTCTTGACAAGTACTTGGTCCAGGCAGACAAGAGCGATCTCCTCGCAAAATACGTCCAAGAAAATCCTCTCCGGGACGTTAGGTCACTTGTGCATCACATCCCAGATTCCTCATCAATGACAGAGAGTGAGAAAAACGCGAAGATAGCCGAGGTGTGTGAACCTCTTCGGAACTACTCCGTACTCGAAGGCTTTGACGGCCAGCTTTCTCGGTACACCAACCTGGACAATTCTCAGCTCAGTGCTGTACATCGTATCCTAACGAAAGAGTTGGCGATTGTCCAGGGTCCTCCTGGGACTGGGAAGACATTTACTTCGGTGCAGGCTCTACGGATCCTTTTGGAAAGCCAAGAGAAAGGTAGCAATGTAATTATTGTCGCGGCTCAGACGAACCACGCCGTTGATCAAATTTTGCTTCAACTGATCAATGCCGGCTTTAAGGTTGTACGGCTTGGTGGACGCACTCAGAACGAGGAGATCAAGCGTTACAGCATGTACAACCTTCGGAAGCGCACTAGGACGTTATTGAACCCACAAGCAGACAGAGATTTCAGAACATTCGAGTCGGCTCGCAAGAGGAATATCACAGAGCTAGAGAAGATCATCGACAATGTCTTCCCCGATAACTTGATCGATCCCAACATCTTGAGATCTACGGGTGTTATATCGGAAAATCAGCTCGAGTCTCTCCTTGCCGAACAGGAATGGAGCGACGCACCGTCCTCACAAGGCCAACCACACGGCCTGTTGGCGGAGTGGCTAGGAGATCAACTCGTGCAGGCGAAACGGCAAGATGAGAAAGATCCAGAATTTGAAGCGTTCGAAGACCATGATAGTATTGATTTAGAGGTGGAGGATTACGATATGGAGCTCGACAACTGTATTGATGATGAGGATGAGAACACCGGCCGCATAGAAGGCAGGTTTTTGCCAATTAAGCATCTATGGACAGGTTTAAATACTCACAATTATACCGAGGATGACCTTGTTGTTCGCAGAGAGCTCCGTAAGCCGAATCTATGGGACGTAGACGTTAAGTATCGCGGTGCCGTCTATCAGTCCTGGCAAAAGGAGCTACTATTACGGCATCGCCAAAGATTCCGCGACGTACTGGCCGACAACGCTCGAATCACGAAGAACCTCAAGATCAACCGCTGGTACAAAGATACGCAATGCATCAAATCGCAGCAGATTGAGATTATAGGGTGCACTACCACGGGCTTATGCAAGTATCGTGGTTTGCTAGCTGCTCTCCGACCGCGCACTATGTTGATCGAGGAGGCAGCTGAGACACGGGAGGCAAATATCCTTTCCGCATTGTACGAGTCGCTTCAGCAACTTATTCTAGTCGGCGACCATCAACAGCTGGCTCCGCATAGCGATACACCCGGCCTAGGGGGAGAGCCGTTCTGCATGCGGGTGTCTATGTTTGAACGCCTTGTCTATCTGAATATGCCTTTCACCTTCCTAAACATGCAGCGAAGAATGATCCCGACATTACGTGAGATATTGAACCCATTTTATCCAGACCTTCAAGATCATCCCGTGGTAACCCAAGGCCACGCCAGACCGCCCATTCCTGGCATGATGTACCCTTCATTCTTCTTCCATCATACTTGGACCGAGGGCCAGGACGAGAACTTGAGCAAGTTTAATATCCTAGAGGCCGAGATGATAATCCACTTCATAGACTATCTACTCATGAACGGTATACCAGCAAGCCAAATCACCGTTTTGACGTTCTACCGAGGTCAAAGAAAGAAGATTATCACCCAGTTCAAGAATAAGATGAAACGGTGGGCGCCCTTTACGAACGTTTTCACGGTGGACTCGTACCAAGGAGAGGAAAACGACATTGTTATTTTGTCGCTAGTGAGAAGTAAGGGTCCTAAAGGACCGCACCAAGCAGGCTTCCTCCAAGATAGGAACCGTGGCGTTGTCTCAATCAGTCGAGCTCGCCGCGGCTTTTACGTCTTTGGCAACATGATTAATCTAGCATTTGCTAGCGAAGCATCATGGAACATGTGGGGAAAGGTACAACAAGTCTTCGAGGCGCAAGGTCGATTTGGAGAAGAATCTCGTTTCCCAATTACATGCCAGAAGCATCACAGGACAACTTGGATGTCGCACCCAGAAGACTGGGTTAACTGCCACGGCGGTTGTGATCTGAAATGTCCAGATCGGCTTGGTTGTGGCCATTTATGCGGACGTCGATGCCATTGGTATGTACACAAGTCATTCTCCCATCACATTCCATTATAGTATAGCTAACCTCGTCTCTCCAGGGCGACCCATGATCAGCTGATCTGTCGAGAACCATGCGAACGAGTCCTCTCGTGTGGCCATAGGTGTCAACGTTTTTGTGGTGAGGGATGTCTGTGTAGCTGTGCTGATTTCACCGGCGCTTATCCTCACGATGAATTTTTACCTGAGGGTGGGACTCTCGGCATAGAGCCGGGTGTAGACTATGATAAATCCCGGGTAGCACCATTCATAAGCCTGGACCAACGTCGCGCAAATGTAGCATTGGGTGGTAGAGGCAATCTACGAGGTAGTCGACGCCCCCCTGACTCCAGACCGGGTTTGGGGTATGGATGGACTGACTTCGATGCTCAAATGGACGATGAGAGGACGTCTAGAGAAGTTCTAGCGGGATCTTCTCATCCGCTAACAGGGACTGCGATTCAAGATACCTTCAGGCCAGTAACGTTAGACGACCATGGTGTGCGCAATGTGGGGAAAAGTATTATTGCCAGGACTTCACCATCACCCGAGAAGAACAACGATGAAGTCCTTACTTTCAAGGATGATGTAGAGACAGCTATCCTCGGCACCGGTTCATTGAACCTTGGTCATGGTGGTATCCCTAGTACACCAGCTAAATACGGCTCAGCCATACCCCCAGCCCCGGGTGGCTTACAGCAACACAACACCAACGTAACGCCATCGCAGCCGCAGGCGGGAGCGATTGCCTTGGGTTCTCGTCCGCAACCTCAAGAAAGCTCGTGGTCCTCTAATATTGCGACAGTGCCTGCAGGATATCGGGCTGACAAGCCAGAATGGGAATTGCCCACTTATACCGACACAACTTCTATTGCGAAGAGTGACAGAGAAGTGGAGGGTGATGTTGCGGTGAGACTGAGTAGTAGCGTTGAAGAGGATGACCTGATTACTTTCTAATTCTCTGTTTTGACTCTTTAACCGGGGACGGGAAGCTATCGAGGCCTCGAAGATTCTGGTATGATCTGAAAACCTAGGTAGGAGGCTGATGTTAGCTTCGAGTGTCAGTGGAAAGGGTGACTGGCTAGTCTATAGCTAATAATTTAAGCATTTGCTCTTGGCTACGTACTATTGACTGCATGGCAAGATAATCATTAATTAAGTATAGCGCGGGTGTTTCGTAGCGCAATATGATGAACGGGGGGGATTCGATGGAATTTTCTTGTTCAGTATATACTCAGCATATGGGGAGGCTCAGCTGGTTATCATACTATATCCCCCGTGCTGTTCGCGATATTAGTTACAATAGTCCCGGAGCTCCACGCCGCGGTATGCTAGACTTCTATGAGGATGCTGCAACAATCTAACTGTGTAACAGAAACCGCGTCGAGAGGCCCATAGTGAGTGCATACTTCACCACCACCTTCTATAACCTTCACCCCGGCGAGGTCCATCGTAGTAGGTACTGTAGTCTATAACCATATATTAGCTTATAAGGTACATAAAGATCTGGGTATCTAGATGTATAAGGTTATAGCACGTTGCTACACCGACTCACCCCTTGTACGGCTGATTCCAAGCTGATCAGCGACATTTACGTAGCCATCGGAGCCGATGACGCCTTTATTCTTGATCTTCTTGATTGTATCATCGTCACCCTGCCACGGGGTGCGGCACATAGGACAAGTCACCTGATCCCTGGTGCTCTTCCGTTTGGTGACCGCCCACATCTCGAAACATTCTTTATGGATATTCTGCCCGCAGGTTGCACGGCAGTAGACGGCGTCTTCGGCACCTTCAAAAGGCGTGAAACAGATTGGGCAGTCATCCTCAAGGGATTTGCGGTTCTTGTCATATGTCTCTGCGCCGGATTGGCCTTCCGTCTCGATGGGAGGGGCATTCTCTAAGATTTCCTGCAGCTCAGTGGCTAGCAAGGCAAGCTGATAAACCAGGTCGAAGCGTGCACGAAGAACTCTTGACAAGACCTAGTCAACGGTTATTAGGGCGGGTCGGGCCAGGCTAGAGACGTCGGATGTGACCTTGAGAGACTAACATATATAATATGTTTGCATTGATGGCCGGATTGGGCATGAGGACAAGTGCAGGTAGGCTGCTGTGCAATGTGGGTGACGTAGATGTTACCAGTAGAGCCGGTTAACTCGACGAACTCCTCGGGGCAATATGCCGTGCCAGCGCGCGTCCTCTCGAGGACGTAGAATCTGAGTTAACGAGATCAGTGGGTGTTTTATATCTTAGGTGCGTATTGACATCTATATGAGAATGTGCGAACCTTTGCGATGTAGCTCGATCATAAACAGCGGAGAAATTTTGGGGAGGTTTAGCACGAAATCTATGTGTAATACAAGCATTAGTTATTTGTTTGTTTGCATATTATTTATTATAGTTATACGATCGTAAACAAGACGATTGCTGGATAGATGGATAGGCAGATATATGGCTGACCTTCTCAAACGTTTCTCTCCAGTATCGACTTTCTTTTGAGATTTCTTAGGTTTCGCACAATCCTCCTCCTGGAAGGGGGAAGAGGCTTTGCGTTTTCTCGAAGTACGCGCACCGTTCGAAGTGTTAAGTTTAGGTTGTATGTTCATCTTGGATATATAATAATCTATTGCATAATCTCAGATGACGATTTTATGTAGTCTACTCACGATACGGATAAGAGATGTGCTGGTACTTAAGTAAAATGGTTGATAAAAAAGGAGATGGATGGACGGTGGAGCTGCTAATCGCCAAAGCGACGCCAAGTCATGTGACGTCATTACCTGCAATGTTAGTACATCGTTACATAGGTACCTATGTACGTCGTATGTGTACAGAGGTGCCAAGGTACATACGTACCTATGTAGGCAAATCCTACGAATACATGTACCTCTGTAGACAGGTCAATCGGTTGAAATGTGCGTTGATTATTCGTAAGTCTGGTGGCCTTACAGGCCCTACTTAAATAGCTGCATTACGGCCCTTATCGTACCTTATCGTACCAGGTGACGTGGATTACACCCTGAGCTCCTTCCAACAACCTCTATATAAGGCGGCATGATATGTCGACAATCCGAGAACGGAATTACATGAATCCACGATGTCTAGATGCGATGAATACATAAGCTTGTAGGCAATCGTAGTTCATTGCTTTTAAACATGTTGATCATCTACCTCATACCGCAAAGTGAACGTAGTTAACTGAGCCCCCGAAAAATGAACCTCACACTGAAGAATTCAAATCTCCGTGTAAGCCTATAATATATACCGAACCGGAGGCTCCGCAACACCGTAACGACAGAACTGTAACCCTTGATAATCCTATGCGTACACGATGACAATTATCATCTTGCCGCTACTTAGGTACCTAAGTCATACCCTCCATTGATGCTCTCTAATGCTCTGTTCCCCCAGTCCTCTGCGCCGGGAATCGTGTTCGTAGAACTATAGTTAAACACAAACGATACTCGACCCGAGACATTCCGTATAATACAACCCTGTACCGTTTTCGAATTCAGGAGGATCATGTGAGGTATCCCGTCAAGAGTATTAGCCAGGCTACTATTCATGACCGCTTGTTCATCAAGTCGATCACAGTGCCCGTTTCAAGAACGGAGGCAAGTAGCCTTTCCCCCCTACCGTTCAAACTGTTTTACCCCCGCAGTCCGGAATCTTGACGCCCTCTTTCAGGTTCCTATTGACATCCATGAGGCCCCATTGATCTTCCCATTCTTTTCCGGGCGTATCGAAGCTGATTTTCCAAGGCTCGTCAAACATCTCAAACCAGAAGTAGTTGGTCCCATTCTCGAGGGCCTGGCAAACCCAGTTCTCCATCAGTGTATTCAATTCGTCGATGCCGGCCACTGATCCGTTAGGACAATCTGTTATCTTGTCATCACCACAATTAGTTCCACCCTTCGTCGGCCAGCCGATCTCGGAGATAATATTCTTCTCAGTTTCCGTCTTGAAGAATCCGTGGGCCTTGTTCTCCCAGAACTGCCACGTCCAAGAAGCGGCGTCCTTGGCATTAACACCGGCAAAGAAAGGATGGATATTGCCCATGATGTAGTCGCTCATACTGGCCAGTTGCGAATCCCAGTTATCACCGAGATCGCTCGTGGCGACGGGGAGATTCCAGTCGTGCTTAGTCAAGTTGGTTCTCACCGAGTCCAGCAGTTTACTAAGCTCTGAAGCGGTCATCTGCTCTCGGAACAGGATCTCGTTACCAATTATGAGTCCCTTGAATGGGTCAGCCCCGTACTTATCCAAGATGTTCCACATCTTGCTTAGCTGGCGCTCGTTCGTAGTAGCGTTTCCATCTTGCCATACTCCAAGCCATATTTTGATATCATTCTCGAGCTTTAATTGTCGTAGAGCATGGATCGTCATCTCCGTTTGGTTGCAATCGGTGCCGTAGAGTCGAATGATATTTGTTAGCTGCGAGAGGACAGCAACATCTCGGGTAACGTTATTCTGGGAAGGCGGGTTCTCAAGGCAATCCGGGAACTGAACGTTGATAGGCGTGTAGTCAACACCGGGAAAGACCTTGTGCAGGTCGTTATTGTTCATTAGTGCTTGAATCTCAGTAGATGTGTCGTCCAGATCCCCATTCATAGCTGTGTCCGATTCAGCGGATTGGACTCCACTGGAGCTGCCCGAACCGCCACTACTTTTGTTTCTATGAGCCAAGATCCCGCCGACGACGCCACCTGCTATTCCACCGGCGATAACAAGGCCGACGAGAACCAGAACAAACCACTTCCACTTTTTGCGCTTGTTATTTTGACTAGACAGCCATTCGGACTGTTTCTCGGTCCCAGCGCCCGCCTTATACCCACCACTTACGTCGTCAAGCCTGCCAGTAGAGCTCGCATTTTGTACTGGGTCGTAATTGATACCGCTATTCCGATTCCTTCCTATCAGCCCGCCCATTACGCCGCCGGCAGCCGCAGCACCAGCGACACCGGCTGCAGAGCCGTTACCACCTCGATGACTCGACCCCCCTAGACTCAGTATGCTATTCCGAGTGGAACGTCGGTATTCGAGGCCGTCATCGCCGTCATCGTCAATGTCGTTCGGATTGAACTCGCCTAGCCTAGGATCCATCCTTTGGCCGTACGCCATATGAGGATCCCGGAACGGATCACCAGAGTAGCCCGGCATACCCCAGGTTGGCGTCCCTTGGCCCGAATGAGACATGGCCGCAGTTACTGATGGAGCGAGACTGGGCGAGGAATTGTAGGTCTGACCGGATGGGAGATATGGGCCGGAACCGTATCCCGGCGACGTGTCATAACTCCGATCGTATGCGTGGCTCTGAGGCTCGTCGTAGGGGGCTTGCTCCGATGGAGTAGCTTGGTAGACATCCGAGTAAGGGGCCTGCTGGCGCTGTGGTTCTTTATATTGCTGAGCTTGTCTCATAGCTTCTAGTCCACTTTCTCGTGCGTTCCTATCAGCGACACTCATAGCTAAACCGGGCATTCCACTAGGAGCAGCCACGCTAAAATTGTCGGCACCCGGAGTGACGTTAGACTGAGGGGTCTCGTGTCCCCAAGTAGATATATTCTTCTCGCGGTGGGACGGCGGGATGGGTCCAGTTAAAGATGGCTGGCCCGCAGCATAAGCTCCCCCAGCTACAGCTCCGGCTCCGGCTTCAGCTTCAGCTCTAATCCCGGTCCCAGGTGCGACGGCTCTTTCTACCCCTCCGATATATCTTCTATTCTGGTGTAGCCTGTTAAATGCCGAGTCGGGGTGAGCGCCGGGGTGTATTGATGCTTTTGTGGGCAAAGGGTGTGCTGGATGGCGATACGGCTCGGAAGAAGAAGAGGAAGAGGGAAAATCTTGGTAGAAATGAGACTGTAATGTTGGCGAGGAAGGATGGGAAGGAAGAGAGGGAGAATGTTGCTGGCGATTGGAATGTGCGTAGCGATAGTTCGGGTTTAAATTGTCGAGGGGGTTGCGCTCGTCAGGTTCAGAATTGAAAGAGTATCGACGACTCATGACTTAGGAAGAAAGTATATAGAACAAGGCGGAGGGAGGAGGGATGTCCGGGACCTTCCAAGGTTCAATTCGATATTATCACCTAGTGCAGTTGCATATGTAGCTATCGCTACCGGCCCTACGAAGGAGTGGGACTCGAAAAAGTCCGGTCCCTGAGCAAGTGGGATAACGTTAGTACATGTAAACACAAGTAAACAACCTTGGACATGCGCAGATATCAACCATGTACCTATCTGGGTAGTACCTGAGTGAACTTAAATCACTAGCAGTAGATTGTATAGGTATACGTACAGTAGAGACCAAGGCAGCAAGGGCGATGAAAGAGTACCTGAAGGCTAAAGGACAAACAATGGGAAGTAGCAGGTGATAGAAAGTTGAGGTGGATTTAGAAATTAGAGGTAACACAAGCATCTGTATTGTACTACATGTACTATGTATGGTTACATGCGCCTTGAATGGAAATACACTATGTAGCAGGTCCATCTGGAATTAGAACTGATGCCGATCTAGTTCTATTCTAGGCAAGGTAGGTACCTAGAGTATAAACATCCAATATCAGGAAAGTATCCCTAGCTATTTCAATATACTATGTACATAGAAGCATATAACAAAAATATACAACTCTAAAGAAAGGTAAGTACCAAGAAACCTACATGGTAAAGCTTATATCTAGAACTTTCCCAATTTCCGGTAGTTATGCGTTCCCATACCTATAATACATATATAGGTACGGAATACCTATTTACTGACCAACCCCGCAGTCTTCGTACCTATCTAATGTATTGGTCTTCCTCCTTGATCTAAACTGCTCAAATCCTTGTTTTGGTTCAGGCATTGTATTGAAAAGTACCTGCCAAATCTAACCGAATACATATCTGGGTACCCAGGTCGTGAGTCCAAGCGCCTTTCAAGTTGTCGCAGGTATCGACATACAAGGTACCTGTGTAGTCCTTTGACTAGCTCGCCCCATGGGTACCTGGCCCACTCGTTAAACTTTGGCCTGTTTCCATAGTAGGTATGTACATATGCAGTGAGGTATGTAGGTAGGCCCATTCCATTGGTTGATGTTGTAACTTGTAATCGACGGTAGCGAATTTGGCCCAGCAACCGCCGATCGATCATCTACACTAGGTACCTACCTGACAACAATTCTCTTATGTCCTTACAGATCCAGATATTTATTTTTATTCTATTCATACAAATTTCATACCCTCCGCATTTAAAATGAAAAGGTTGCTATAAAATGCTACTCAGAATACCTACACGAAATACTACACGAAATACTACACGAAATACTACACGAAGTAAGCAGCACATAGTTACCTAAGGTTAAAGTGCCACACCGTTAAATGCCAGCATACAACCGCCCCGAGGGCTCGGTTTTCCCTTGACCCACCCCACAAGGGAATCGTAGATCGGTGGTTGGCTAACTAACCATCTATTATCGAATCCGTAACCTGTGAAGAAATCCCATGTCAGATGCCTGTGCACGGATCTGATATACTATGTACACTACGACGCTCTCCTCTAAAGCCTCAACTTCGATATACTTACCTAATAACTGCGATAGCCTTAATGCAGATTCGGATATATAGGTAGGTGCCTAACTTACATCATAAAGACTTTACATTGAAAGAAATCACCTATCAGGTAGATAAATTGATAGGTAATCGGTAGGTAATACATATTAATATATTAGTATCTGCTATCCGCAGCAAAAGCTCCGACGATGCTGTCATCAAGTCGATCGTGATGCGGAAGGCAAACGCCATACATTATCATTCTCTCCACATATCACGCCTGTTAACCGCTTTCCCCTTCCGTTTGTTCTCCATCGATGAAACGGTGTTATGTCAGACCTCCTCATTGCATCTTCCATTGCATCTTCCATTGCATCTTCGTGACGTCACCTTACTCATCCCTCAATATCCTCTGATTATATGAAGGTCTACGGCCATAGCTTTAGATGAGTCTGACCAGTTCTTTCAATTACATCCAGGAACCTAATCCGAGATCTTCCTCTTCTATATTTCATTATCACACAATAACAATGTCGGCAACCAGAAATACCGAATCCTTGTATAACCAGGGCGAGTTCCGTAGCCGCGTGCCACCCGCAGAACCTCTCACAACTGGCGGGCATAAACCCGGTGTTAAGGTCGGCAATGATGCCGCGCCGGAATTTCACGCCGAAAAGTATCCCCCTGGTACCGCGCCCCCGGAAAGCACATTCCTACCCAATCCCGTAAACGAGTTCCCAGCCAAGTCTCCATTGATCCCTCCCGCGGATACCCTTGGCGGTACTACATCTCAAGCCCTCTATACTGGTCTGGGTAAACCGTTCCAAGGCCAAGTATCAACTGAGGTGCGCGGCAGTCTACTAGGCGAGGAAATGAAGAAACGAAAAAAAGAGCATGCGGGGTTAGAAGGTGTTGGGGCGAGTGAGGGTGGTGATATCGCTCGTGATAAATGGGTGCGTCAGAAAGGGGCAGACCTGCCTGAGGGCGTGGAGAAAGGCACAAGAGGGAAGGCGAACCCCGAATATCCCGGTGCAGAAGACCGCCTCCCGACTGGTGCGGAACAGGTGGCGGCCGACGCGGCCCAGCGCTAAGTGCCGGAGCGCGACTACGACCACACGCAATCTGGAAACCTCAAATAGGGAGGTTGTATAGACTGTATTAAGTAATAGCAAGAAGACAAGTATGCAAGCTGCTTAATGAAAGTGGTTATATATACCAAACAGTTGATCTAGGCGTCCTAATAATTCGATTATGCCCTACTAATCTAACCTAGCGACTAGTTATCTAACCTAGAGAGTTGACATTAATAAGTATTAATAGGTATATTCGGACTGAGACCGTATTATTTAGCTACTGCCCATGATTATCATGTGTAGGGCGATAGGATTGGAAGACCGGTAAAATAACGTCAGGGAATATGCGAGTAGCATTGATCTACTCTATACACACACACATACATGGAGCAACTCCGTTGTCCAGAGATTTAATGCAATAAGACGTTTAATTTCTCGGTCCTACTACGTATAGTATCTCTCGCTTAATTTACGACCACAGCTGAAATAACCCCTGTTGTCCGCCTAGGATTCCGAACGTTCTCGCCCGGTGTACACTAGCACGAAGTTGGTCCGTTCACCATCCTGTCGGGGTATATTTTGTTGGCTTTCTCATATATCAATCAGGATATAAATTATCTCTTACAGGAAACCCAACATACTCTCTGCACATGTCCAACAGTTTTCTTTTTGAACGAGTTATCCCGCAATATCAACATACTGCCGTCTATGTGTTGACATGCACGAACTTGTATGCCGAGAACCCGCATCAGATATCATGGACCCTGATAACACGAGATGAGCCTGGCTGTACAAAAAGCGCTCGCCTACCTAGGTAGTGCTATTAAAGCAAGCTACCCTGGGTATGCAAGGAAAAAAAATGACACTTGGCAACTGAATTAAGCAACCAGCTCCAACTTTATTGACTTCAATTCGCAGCCCTTGTCTCCTAGCATCACCGCCATTGGTCTTGACTCTGTGGTGGCTACCAGTGCCAAGAAGGCTTTAAGCCCTATGTGCTCCGACGAGAATTGACTAAATGGTCTTGAGACGATAGAGACGGTCAGAGAGAAGAATTTGGGAAAATGTCTCTTTAAGGATTGCGCGAGTCTTCTCTCTTCTCCTCGGTCATCTTATTCTTAACAATTGGTTGAAACCATTTCCTAGTCTCTACATGACGGAGAGCATTCATTCATCACGCTTCGGATCGTTGCATTGTGGGCTGTCATTCGTTCCGGTGTATCCCCATAATTATTACAATGGGATTCGCACCGCTCACAACAACAATCACGCCAACCGCTCTAGCACCGCGGGCGACTTCTCTTGATCACGATGGCACACCACCCGTAGCCGCGTTGACTACGGTATGGACGCCTTCCGATGGCTGCTTTCCGGTTTCTACCCGTCCTACGACGGATATCGATATGTTTTGGACTTCAAACCCCGAATGCGCTCCTCCTGGCTACGCTAGCTACTTCGAGACATATTATTATTCTCCCGCCATATGTCCCAGTGGGTTTACTGTTGGCTGTTCGCGATACGGCAATTTTCAAGGCCCATCCGTCGAACCCACTGAAACAGCTGTTCTTTGCGTTATGAGGTAACTTATCCTCAGCTATGTTAGCTTGTTATAACAAGGGTTAACTCTTAACAGTGATTATTCATGTACTCCTGATGAATGGAACTACTACGCAACTAACACCGACTTATCGTGTATGTTATATTGAAAGTCCCCCTTGACCCGTCAAGAGTTTCTCGATCATATTTCTCATGGGATAGAGTAATCGCTGATTCGCCGTTATAGATGCACAAGTAATGATACAGATACGTTGGGCATCGAGTGACCTTTCTATCTTAGAAACGCATCCCTTGACGCCTGGCTTGACTTTGGCGGCGGGAACTTTGGGTGGCGAGACCGACGTACCAGGGACCCCGTCGTCATCTAGCGCAGCAGTGACAGGGCCGTCCGCAAATCCGGACACTAACGGTGTCGGCTTGTCTGTTGGTGCTCAAGTTGGGGTTGGTGTCGGCGTGGGCCTGTTTGGTCTCTTAGGTCTTGGATTGGCGGTCTTCTTCATACTCAGGTACCGGAAGAAGCGTACGAACAGACAGGCCGCCAGTCAGCCTCCGCCCATGCAACAGCCTCCTCCAGGCCAATATCCCTTTCACCAATACCCTTATATACCTGGTTCGGGACCTGCTGGACAACCGATCCAAATATATCCCCAGACTACCTCTTATCCTGGATATTCAACCTATGTCGACCCTAAAACTGGCGCTGCAACTTATTACTCCGCGGTTCCTCAACCTACTGAGTTGGAAGGCACCGTTATCAATGGACTAAGCGCACATAATAGCCAGGAATTACCATCCGTCCCAGGGTCACAGCCATCTCAACTTCAAAATTCTATGTTTTCTAACGGCCAACCAATGCCCATGCACCCAGGTTCCAGTGACAATCCTCCTATCAGTCACTACGAAGCTACCGGCGAGCTAGCAGTAGCCGAGATGTCCAGGAATAAGGGACCTGTCTAATCTATAGGAAGTACCGACAAGCCGCATGTGCAACAGGAAATGGCTCATCTAATAGCTGAACAAGCGAAATTGGACGCCAGAAGAACTCGGCTGATGGAGTTGGCGGACCTGGACGAAGAGGAATAATGGATACGAACAAGAATTCAACAGCTCGGACAAGCACAATAATGAACCACCATAGCCTCCAGGCATAGTCGAGTTACTAGTCATCTCATATTATAAGAATTATTAAGCGTTATAGAAAGACTAATGAGGAGCACAATACCAGGTTAAATATCGCCATCTTTCCAATTATCTATTAATACTACACAACCGAACATTAATAGGAGGTACGCGTGATATCCTAATGCAGTTTGTCTATCATTGGAATATTTGGCATTAAGCAAATTTCGGAATACTTGTGGCACATATTGGGTGAGCCGGAGAAGGATAAAAATCAAGAAAATAGATGCGAACGTTGAGCAGAAGATGGTAGGGGTGAATTTGGATACGTAGCCACAGTCCTTGTCAATATATATATCCCCGTAGCTGATGGAACACGAGGGGCAAAGCTACGCAGGTATTCCTTTGCGTAACATAATAAGACCGGCAGCAAGGCAAGCTTGACAATCTACGGTATGCCTGCCGCGGACGCATCAATAAATTACAAGTCATTTCGTAGGGCTTACGAAAATACAATTAGAAAAAGCAAACTTGTCACAATCAATCAAGCGCATCTGCCTCTTGAACCCCTCCGTCAAAGCTTCCTCACCACCCTCATCGTTGCCTACCTTCCTTCTCTTTACAACTTTTTCGTCCGCTTCACACCACCACCACTTTCTACCACAAACATCATCCACCATACCCCTCTTTCTTCTATTTTCAACCATCAAACCATCAAATCATAATATCATTTAACAACCTACTTGAACCCAAATCCGGCACTATTGTCATCATGTCAGCCGTCGACAAGAAAGACATCACTGAGAAGGAGACTCAAGTGCTTGCCATGGCTTGGAAGTGCTTTAAGGCACCCCCCGAGGTAAGCGGTTTCCAGATCTGCTATCTCTAGGCTGTCAAACATCGCGTGCAAAGTGACGCACTAACATGTACTTCTTTACAGGTTGATTATGACAAGCTTGCCAAGCTTACAGGCTACGCCAACCCTAAAAGCGTGCAGAATGTCATTTACGGTGAGTTTTTCGTATTCTGCCAATCCCTGTGACATGTTAGATATACTGCCATCGTACTGTTAACTACCAAATTTTCAAAGAGGATTTCATGACTGATTCTAACTTACTGTCATAGCCGTGAAGAAGAAAATTGAGGGTGGCAACGAGGGTCCGGCCACGCCTACCAAGCCTGCCCCCAAGGCCAAGGCTACTCCTGCCTCACGCAAGCGCAAGGTTGCTCGCAACGATGAGGAGGATGGTGATGATCCCATCACCTCGACTCCGAGAAAGCGCGCTCGTGGCAAGAAGCTAGCTCTCTCCAAAGAGACCGTCAATGATGATGATGATGATGACTCTGAGTCTGGAAAGAAGGGTATCACACAGGAGGATGACATCGATACCAAGGATGATATTGGCGAGGGAATCGTAGACTAATGTCTAATGAGTCATTAATCAATCCGCGAATCACTTAGGGGGCATCGCTTCGCGAAACTACCTAGTCGATTGATGTCAGTCGGAAACCGTCTTTATTCTATCTTGATATTTCTTATTACTTCGAGATAGTCCATATTGAAAACCGCACAAAGCTAATAGTGAATCGTACTGCTTAGTTTTACCATATTTCAACGATGTGTTATCACATTTGAAGTGGCTATCCCTATTTCTACGGGGTAATATCAGCTTGCTTGAGCCTACCTTGTCCTACGTCTTGGCCTATAACCACTACTATTTAACACTATAGGAGGCCACCCCTTACCTATACCAACCCCCATCCTTTCCAGTGTCGGCGCTCGCACTCGTTGAATCGGGCGTAGTGTTTGTCTAAGGAATAGCTTAGTGTCCCCTAGGTCTATCGTCGAACGCACTTGGGATTATTGCCTTGATTAAACGAGATCCATGGTTCAAAAAGGCTTAAACAGATGGGAGCACAAATAAACCCCAGACGTTGCCATATATTTGTTTACCTAAGACTAGTGAGTAGTTCATTCCAAAAATAGGACCAGCACGCAAGCATTGTGGTAATATAAATACTGTTCAAGGACGAATCATAGATCATGATGCCTTGTACCTGCCAACAGGTTTGAGAATAATTAGGTAGGTAGGTATTTAGGTAATTACGTATGTACCTAGGTATTGATATTCAATTTACATAAATATAGCCTGTTAGATTCTACCGGCTTAACCAGGTAATTACTCTGTATATAGGCAACCATTAGGGTTAGTAACCTCCACGGCGCGTACCGAGATTCCAAGGCACCCCTGGTTTCCAGCAGGCTGGTCGACGCCCGTAGAAACCCACACACTCCAAGCACCATCTATGCTATTAGGGCAAGCGAGGAAGCCTGCTCCGTTAAGCGTCAAGTCGTTGCTTTCATCGAGCGCGAAGGAAGTCCTCTCGCCATTTCTGGGAGCCGGCTCAGCGCCAGTTGTATATCCGAGCTTACCCTGGCCTACAAGTTAAGAGGTCAGCATAAATCTAGTAGAATACCCTAATATTGATAAGAGCAAGATGTTATTCAACATTCTTGCGATGTTATTCAACATACCCATTCCAGAACGATCGGCGTAAAGCTGCTGCGGCGTTGCGGAGGCGGCGTAGAGGTAGAGACCGCCATCTTGAAGGTAGAACGTAGCGTAGTCGGCAGGGCCAGCATCACAGGAGGCGTTCTGGCTGGGAAGCTTCAAAAAGAGACTACCCTTGGCCGCTTCGAAACTGGCAAAATGGACCTCGCTGGCAGATCGAAGAGCCATTAACGAGAACTTGGCGTCAGGTGAAAGTGGTGCTCCCGGGGTTGCTTGCGGCAGAGCAGTTGAAGCTCCGACGAAGAAGGGAATTGCGAGGGCGAAGTTCTTGAAGAGCATTATGGCGGTTATGTGTTAATTAGAGATTAGAGTGATGTAAAGGGCGATGCAAATCTTTGGTGAAATGGTTAGATTTATCGGAAGTAATATCGAAATGAGAGAGATATTGAAGCCTTTTATATCATTCTCTGTCAAGTCTAGAAGCCTTTGGGGCTCTATAAAGGAGAAGCCCAGCCTGACATCATCTGCATATGTACTATGTAGTGGTCTAGGTGCAATACGAAGGCAGAGAATACGAGGATTCAAAAGTGTTCTTGGCGATACTCCGTTGCCGAACAGCTCAGTACCAAGTTAGCCGATTGGCTCAGCTCTGGGGCATTTCAAGGGCCATCTCGAGATGTGGAACCGTCCGCTGGAGATGATCGACATCATATTGCCGGCGAATGAGCCCACAACCTCCTTAGTCCCTTTTCTACGTCGCGAAACCCAGCCTACCCTTTTTAAATATCATTATGCATTATCGCCCGTTTTGAACTAGACTGCTTGATAAAAATGTCCCGTAACATAATATTAGACTAGAATACGGGGAGATGATATCCTTGCATGGACATTTTTAGTCTAGCTACGTACGGAATAAATGTTAAGTTAATGATTTGAATGTATAAGTAGTTGTAACTAGCTATACGTACAATCGATTATATCGAAATAAAACAGAATAAAGAAAAAACAAAAAGGAGAGGGAAGGGGGTGGGTAATACGGGAGAGATAAATGGGATTAAATACTTTGGTTCGTTTGAAATCCTTCAACTCCTCAATATATCAGTCAGTAGCATAGGTTCCAACTTTATATGGCAATATCTCGATACTGCCGTCGGTTCTGCTTTATTCTCGGTCACGTTGTGTGGTGCCGGAAACTTACCTACACTATTGTATAATAGATTTGAACGGTACTGATGTTGGCTTTCGCTACGTCGCACCCAAAGGATGCTGCGCATTAATCAAGGGAATGGGAAAGAGGCGGAGAGAGTCTCCGAGCTCATAAGGAGGTTGTTCGAGTCTTGGAAAATAGTGGAATAGATATATGTAGATTCTAGCGGTATGTCCTCAGGTGCCAGCGAGACACGGTGGAGTATCTCTCAAAATCAAAGTAGTCTGACAGTCTGATTTGTTCAAAAAGTTCACCATTCATTTTGATTGGACATATGTACCCTAGATAGATTTACTCCACCGTGTCTCGCTGGCACTTGAGGACATGGTTTTTTTTTTTAAAAAAAAAGAAAAGAAAAAAAAAACTTTGATATAGGTGGGAAGCCCACCCGTTCGGGAGTACCTCGGCTCGGGTCTTCAGTCTTGCCCGTTTTCTTATCAATGCAAGATGTTTCTTATCATGTAACCATGTCCCTCTTATCTATCGATATGGAACTTATGACATCAGAATCCCACCCCATAGCTACTACACAGCTAGGTACTAAGCTAAAGAATTGCCTATTATAGAGCCTAATCCAGCATCTAATTGGATGGAAGTGTGAAGTATATACGTCATTTGCCATGCTTCGAAAATGGCAGCCAAACAGGCGTGTTGCTGGACAGTTGTGTCATACATAGGAGGCTTGCGTTAGAGATATTTATCTAACCCGCCCAAGTATCTTGAAAACTTGTGCGATATTTCTTTACTTAAAGGTCAAAAAGCAGATATCACCCCTAAGATACTATTATTAAATTTAGACATCTCATATCGTAGTGTACGAGCGCGTCTAAACTTCCTATCTCGAATTAAGCCGCAATCATGTCAAAGTTGATAGATGACGTCAAAACTGGCCTCAAAGGCATTCGCGGAGCTGGGGACGCCATTCGAGGAGAGGCAATGGAGGTTACGGATCAAGCGTTTGACAACAACCAAAACCATCCACAAACCCAAACAACGCAAGCGAAGAATCGAGCGATCGCAGAGAAAGGGAAGCAAGACGTTAAAAATGTTGATAATATGTTTGCTCAACGTGAATGGGAGCGTAAAGGTGTTCCGAGAACAGACGGAGCTGCCTATGGAGTTGCACCGACGCATCATTCGACTACATCCGGCGAGACGGACACGGTTGCCCACAACACGACTGACAGCGGGCGTCCCAAGGGCGATCTGAATGGATTAAAATGATTGAATATTAAACACCAGCAGAAAATTGTGGAGAATTCTGATATAGCGAAGGAGTTACTCGATGACGGGTACTTTTATCTTGGTTGAGGTCTGAGCTTTGATGATTTAAGTGGTAAGGGAGTCCAGGTACTATGCAGGAGGCAGTTAGGTAAATCTCATGTTGGAGAGTTCTCAATATGAATAACGCCGGTTTTGCCGTCAATTTCCATCCCGCTCATTCTTGCTAGCGTGCTTTCGATGCCGAAAAGAGCAGACATCTCTTCGAGCGTCTTCCCTTTCGTTTCCACTACGACTGTTAGACCTAATCATAGAATAAATAGGGGTTATACTTACCCATGGCACATCGTACGAATATAAATGCAACTACACAGATGCAGGAGTAAATTATATAAAGGCCCCAGCCGATGGATGCGGCTATCGGGGGACTTGCCTGAGCTACCACGTAGCAGCTCAGCCAAAGGCTCGCCGTTGAAAGTGCGTTTCCTTTTGCCCGATACATGACGGGGAAGATCTCGGTAGCGTATGTCCAACTTCCCACACCCCAGCTAACATTGAAGAATATATAGAACAAATACGGAAAAGCAACAATGGCGTAGTTTCCATTAGAGCCGGGATTTCTCTCGGCATGCCACTGCAAGACGGTGATGCCCACCATCGCACAACACATTCCAACCAGGCCTATCTGTAGCCATGTCTTGCGTCCAAGGCGGTCGAATAGAAAGATCGGGACCCAAGAAAAGACAAACAAGACTATGCCAACTCCTCCTGTAGCTAAGTTGGCTGTCTTCGGGTCCGTAATTCCTCCGCGCCCAAAAAGGGACGGCTGGGGATCGTTTAGCATATCATCAGCACCAACGAGATGGACTTAACTTACGGTATAATATAATATCGAGTTAGTGCCTGTAATCTGCTGGAAGAATTGCACGCCCATGGCGAGTAGAGTAACACGTAAAACGGGCGATTTGAACATATCAGCCCACTTCGCTGTAGCCAATGTTTTCTCAAAAGCTACCTCCTCGGCTATCTCTGCCATTTGCAGATCGGCTGCTTCATCGCCGTGAAGCCGGGCGAGTACTTCACGAGCACACTGGTGTCTATCTTGCTGAACCAACCAACGGGGGCTAGGGAGAACCCAAAACCAGCACCCGACTCCTAAGAGAGCTGCTGGTACGACTTGAATGGCCAGTGGGATGCGCCACCAGTCGGGAGTTTCTAGAAAGTTAAATCCGTAATTTAACCAGAAAGCCACGAGCTCGCCGAAACAAAGAATCATTTGCTCTATTCCGATAATACGGCCTCTTAGCTTTGCTGGCGCGATCTCAGATACGTATAGTGGTACGCCGCCGGCGCATGTACCCACACCGTATCCCAAGATGATACGTCCGATCGTGATAGAGGTGATATTATAGGATGCTGATTGAAGTATAGCACCAATGATAAAAACTACACAGGCGATTGATAATGTTCGCTCACGGCCGCAGTGGTCGGCAAGGAAGCCTATAGACATAGCACCGACCAAGCACCCAACGTCGTAAAGCGATACCACCGCTCCCGTAACCCAGCTGTTCGCCGGTTTCATAAGGGAGATCCACCTAGCGTCCGCTACGATGACTCCCATGACACCTTGATCTGTGGAAATATCGTCAGCCTATTTCTGTGTGGAACGTAGAATAATTCGACTTAATAGATGTACAGGCGAGCTTACCATATCCAAAAAGCAATGCACCAATGGAGACGAACGCAGTAAGGAAGTAAACATAACGAAGGTTTTCAGGACGCTTCCCAACTTCACCGGCCGTTCGGCGAATAGGATTTGTTGGCTTTATATTGAACATCCTCTACTTATCTACCTGACTTCGAGACGATCAAACAGGTATCAAATTCATAATCTGAATAAATTAAAGGGAGAACTCAACCGCTCGGAGAAGTTGGTATGGAGATCACATATCAACCTAAAATGAAATATTGCTGTGCCTTTTATATTTAGTTTCGTGTGTGCTAGTATGCAAGTTATCAAGCATGTATTATTTCTACACAGGCAATTGTATCGGTACTAGTCCTGGGAGAACAGCGGATGCGGCAGCGCAGGGTTGGATTTCCCCACACGTGAATTTGGGATTCTGTGGGGTGACCACGGAGAAGAATCTGGGGTGCTGATCGAATGAAGCTTGTCGCCCTTGTCGTGATACCCTATTTAAATCCCAATTCAGCTAAGATCGCCACGAGGATAAGCATATTCGCTATATCAAAGTACCGAAACTTGAACTTTACCTAGGTAGTCTTGATATCAAACCAGCCACCAATTACACAACTTTGGTGCTACCGACAACGGCAGACTCAGCTTCGGGCGGCCAGTCGAAAGCATCTGACGTTTCTCAGCGATATAGGCCAGCAAGATCTTTCAGTGGAGACTATATGTCGCTCTTGTTGAGTTCTAATTCTTTTTCGTTACTCTAATACTCTTTTACTAGTTGGCTCTGGACTCTTTATCTCAAGAGCTGCCCGCGTGTCGATCTAGAAGTACTGCATATAAATTACACCAGTTGTTCTTCTTCGTCATAAATTATGCCGCACGTTGCAGATTCATCGCCCCTCATTCCTCTATACGTCAACGACGGGCTGCTAAGACCTGAGCAAGTTGGCTCTCTTCGTCACTCGTCCCCGCATGAACCTCTGGATGATCTGCGTCGGCGGTACGGACACGATGGCTACCTTTTCTTGAAGGGCCTCCTGCCACGGGAAGACGTACTCAAGGCTAGAGAGGCATATTTTACCCTTCTGGCCCCCAGCGGTGTGCTTGCACCTGGAACTCTTCCAGTAGAAGGGGTTTTCGATAAGGACAAGGATAAATTGGATTTCCCTGGAATGGTAAGTGTCCTCTATCAGTATCGTGAATCCTCGCTTAGGGGAAATCATTATATACTTAACTTAGTGCCTATCTTATTGCTAACCAACTATTAATTAGTATGTAAGGCATCTTAAATGTGTTCTCATTATCCTGTTTCATGGTAATAGCTATCTGGAAAAATGCTTCTTCGTTATCTTGAATTTACATTACGTATTATGATAAAAAATAATCTCCCGAAGAGTGCTAACGTAGAACAAGCGGAGCTGGGTCAACCGACGGGAATGGGCGTCCTCGAGGAGGTCGTTTTGTTGATCTTGCATTGCAAGCTCATGAGGAACCTTGGTATAAAGATGAGTTTTGTAAACACCCAACACTCCACTCGTTTATCAGCAAGTTCACGGGATGGGGTGATAATACTCTTGGGCTTACCAGGTCCCTCTTGAGAAACAACACGCCGCAAAACAAGGCAATAGGTGTGCATTATGACCAGATTTTCCTCCGATATGGCGAGGACACCAGCATGACTGCTTGGGTACCCATGGGCGATATCGCCTTAGACGGTGGTGGTCTCATTTACCTAGAAGGAGGCCATACTCTCGGTCGAGACATCGAGACATCTTTCTATGATCTTGCTAAGGAGACCGGGCTTTCCGAAGAAGAGACGAGGAATGCATTTAATAAAAACATGATGAGTGGAGGGTTGCTTGCAGACGGGCCGAAGGAGTTTTCCGAAGCGCATGGACGAAAATGGCTTACTACGAACTACGAGGCTGGGGACGTTGTTCTTCATACACCATACACGGTAAGACAATGGAGTAGAAGAACAACAAATATCTCAGCTGATCATCGTAAAAGATTCACGCCTCGACAATAAACAAGGACCCGAACAATGTTATTCGTCTTGGTACAGACTTGAGATTTGTCGACTCTTCCCGGCCATACGATAGGGTTTGTATGGTGATCTTTCAAGATAGAGTATCTTACTAATATGACTCATAGCGTTGGTCAAATGTGTATACGTTCGGAGATGGTGTATAGTAGATTTAATAGGCGGTTAAGCGGCTAGCACATCGGCATCGCTTGGAAGCAGGACCCATGCCAGCAAATAAAACCGAGCTGTATCGGCCAATAGTCAGGTTCCAACAGTTCATACAGATTGAAATATATAAATTGGCATCATCACCCCTATATAATGGTGATCAATACCTACCTTGCCGATTGGTCATATTCAAATTCAATGGATTGCAATTTTCTACCTAGTTTAAAGTCACCTTTAATTGAACAAAACGTGTATTAATTATAAAATGGCGACATTGTTCGTTATTGGACGAGAAAGAGTTTAATATAATTTGTACTAAGGGGTATTAGGGGTACACTGAGTGTATAGCTGCTAGCTAATAGGTTTCTAAATGGAGGACATAATCCATCTTGTATTTAGAAAGAGTATGGCTTAAGCGAATTACCGCCCTACCTGGTATACCTATAATGGGATGATACCTAACTTAATCAAGTCGTCTGCTCGTACATACAAGCAAGACAATCCTATCCGTTATCTATTGGAACGAACATACTAAGTGCTCCTATCCATGTAAAGGCCGTCCAAAATCTGCCAGCGAAGCACCCAGGGAAATTTACACTTAGTTAAAGAGTAGAGTATTGCAATTTATATTGCAATAGGCATGGAGCATAGGTATGGTATGTAAAATAGCCGCGCCTAGACTAATAATGACGACTTAGTCCCAAAATTCAACCAGAGTAACTGGCATCTCTATTATCAACGTTTAACCGCAGCTACATTCATTTCAGCTCGTACGATATAATTTACTGGCGCTGTTAGGATGAACTGATTTTAAATTCTCTATCCTAAAATGGAAGATTTGCCTCCTATTTAGCATAGCGTATTCTAGCGTCATAGATTAATGTGTTCTATTTCCTTTAGTATGGTGCTAAATTCTTGCAAAGCCCAAGCGAGCTGCTAACCTTGCCGCACCAGTGACTTTAGTGGCCGGACCAAGTGGATTCCTCCAGCCTTATTACCCCTAAATCAAGCAAATGATAAAGGAAAGATATAATCCTTGATTGAAAGTTATTCTACTGGCTATGAAAGGACGTTGTGATGCCACTAATCGTGGTTTGCCAATCACTATGTACCTATTTATAAAGGATAGCTGAAGGTATCAGAGGCAAAGCTAAGCCAACACCCCATAAAGATTCGCTGCAACCCACCACGGGGTAAATGTTGCATTGATCTTGAGTTTCCACAACTCATCGCAGAAATGAACGACCGCCGAAGATCTTAATTTACCGCGGTAAAGCGACAGGGAACCAAATCTAGCCGAAAATCATACGAGGAAGCCAGGCGTTTAGAATGACTGATTAGGCGTACATAATGTCTAGAGTTTAAACGCTTATTTGAGAAAAGCGATATACCGATCATGGCAGAAGGGGAGACGCTGCTAGATCGTGTAGGGATTTACGACAACCTCAATGAACCTGTACCGTCATGGAATCGCCCAGGAGTTATTGCGACTGTTGCGGCCTCTATGTTTGTAAGTGTAATAAAACTGATAGGTATGAAAACCCTTCTGACATTGTATACTAGTGCATCTCTTCCATCTGCATAGTCTACCGTCTTTATATACGATTCTTCGTGCTGCGCGCTAAAGGCTGGGATGACTATTTTATCTTGCTATATCTTGTAAGGGAGTACTACTCGTGGTTAAGAGAATTGCTAACGTTATATTAAAAAGGTGTCGGGCTTAATCGGCGGGATATCGCTCTGTCTTGGTTAGTACCTAGGGACCATCGATCACGGCGGTTTCGAAAGGCGCTGACCTTTTTCCAGCTCCCCAATATGGGTTGGGTCAACATTTCGTAACCCTTGACTATGGTGATATTCAATCGTATCTAAAGGTATATTTGATCATATAGCCAATGGCGGGATGTAATATGAAAGCTAATTCTAGCGGGTGTCCTAGGTGTTCTATGTAACGAATGCGTCCTATAATATGTCGACGACCCTCATCAAGATGTCCCTCTTATTCCAATACCTACGCGTTTACCATAGCGGCAGCCTCCGTACAACATGCATTGTAATGTTAATCATTGTTAGCATCTGGGGTGCGGCGTACACCTTTATGGGTTGGGTACCCTGCTTTCCAGTTAGCGGATACTGGAAAATGGGAATTGGAGCGAAATGTTACGGGTTCGGTTCTACAAATGCCAACGAGGTTTTCAAAACATATATAGCACATACTTCGGTTAACACGATACTGGATATGATCGTGTTTGCGATCCCAGTGCCACTATACTTCAGACCAGGCACCGCTAGAAGAACTAAACTTGGTTTGGTTGGGTTGATAATCATGGGGGCAATGTATGTGAAAACATGATTAACCGATGCATAAAAATCAATGCTAATTTACGATAGCGTGAATGGGTTTACAATGTGGCGGCTTGCGACGCTTGTTGAGCACAGAGCGACAACCAGCCCGACTTTCGATCCGACGTGGTACAGTCCGATTAGCATCGTACTTGGGGCGTTGGAGGTAAACGTAGCAAGCATCTGCGCCTCGGTGCCCATTTTCTGGCCTTCTTTAAAGGCTCGACTTGATGAGATATTTGTCACCAGAGAGGTTACGATTACACTTCACCGTCGTTCGAACAGATCCTCTGGCGATGTTGGAGATAACGTTGAACTTCAGCGTACAGCAAGCGAAGATCGCGAAAATAAATGGAAAAGATGTCCTAGCAGAGCAGGAAGCGAGTCGAGCCAGAGCCGGTTGGCCGAAATAGCCCCTGTGGAAAAGAGAACTCAACATTACATGGATGATTTTATCTTGAATCAGGTAGACCCTTTCAGGAAAAAAGGCGCTTTTGTTGTCGAGTCGGAGATTATCTCGGATGGTCTCAGGAGGCAAAAGTCGAAACGACAATCGCGAAATAAAGGTTGATGGTTGACCTAGCGTGTATATCTATTGAGAGCGTTCGTATATCCATGCCAGAATTGTTACAACTTATTTTGGTCAAAGGCCGTAGTCGGTGACGAGGAGAGAAAAAGGGGGTAACAATGCCCATCCATTTCTTTAATCACATAGTGGAGTATGCAACTAACAGCATATTCAATTATAGATATATAGGTACCTATCCATTTCAAAAGATAAGGAACCCCCTTCGAAAGTGACCGAGGTTAGGTTAGACATCTCCATTGGAGCTTGCCCATTTCTCTTATCACTACCTAACCTACCTGTTTATATCTTATATCCCGACTGCCTCCCTCCGGTTCTGATGATGTCTTCAATAAATCCCCGAGGCTGTCGATCAGAATGACAAAGCATCACGCATTACACACTAAGGGTCATATCCCGTTCTCACCAAGCGGATCGCGGGGGGTATCACGAGGAGTATCGCGACCGCAGGCTTGGAAATTGGCCGTCGGTGTGTTCATTGGCCTCTTCTCACTAACCTTCCTGCTCTGCCAGGTAGATGGGGAGCGCATGACAACGATTATTTATCTTTTTACGAAATTAAACTCTCATGATATATTACAATTATCTTCCACCGATTGGAAATGGGGCGATATCAAACCCAGTAGAACCTTACAGTGGCACCGTTGCTACAATGACACCTATGACTGCGCAAGACTCGATGTGCCGATGGATTGGCTTAGTCCATCTGATGATGCGCAGGCACGGGTCGTTTTGGCCGTCATACGCCTCAGAGCCGTTGAACTTGACGACTATAAGGGTCCCTTATTTTTTAATCCGGGAGGTCCTGGGGGATCCGGGGTTTATGCACTCAAAGATCGCGGCGCACTTCTACAGGCTATTGCTGGTAAGAACTACGATATCATATCCTTTGATACAAGGGGCGTCGGCGCATCGCTCCCGCGGGTTCACTGTTGGGGATCTCAAGAGAAGAGTCGCCTTTGGGAATTGCAAGATGTTGGCGTGGTTAATTCCCATCCGGGAGTCATATATGACGTATTTGCACGAGCAACCGCCTTTTCCCAGGCTTGTGAAAGAAACGTGAACAGTTCGAACCTTCTTTCGCATATCAGTACTGCATCGCATGCTAGAGACTTACTTGAGATTCTCCATCAGACCGGGCAGGACAAGCTCAAATACTGGGGCTTCAGCTATGGGACGATACTGGGCGGCGTAAGCATCCCCTGAGACTAAGTATATTCTTTGTTGCACCCGTATCAACGAGGAGATCCTCACATAGGCCCGCTTCTCTATACGTGCGATTCTCAACATCACCACGCTAACCTCTGTTAATTTATCTAGGTATTCGCCGCGATGTATCCTGACAAGGTCGAGAGGCTCGTTAGCGACGGTAAGACTGGCCTTACGAGAATGCCTAGCTGATAAGTATTGACAAGGATATTTTCAGGTAACGTGGATTACCGGGAATGGCATCTAAACTCACATATCAACTTTCTACACGATACCGATAAAGTGATGGAAGCTTTCTACAACTTCTGCTACGAAGCTGGCCCATCTAGTTGTGACTTCTATGCCTCAAGCCCGGCAGCCATAGAGCGAAGGCTAGCCAGCCTTCTCGAGCAGATCAGGGAACATCCCATAATTGTGCCAGCCGCTGAATCAGGGCCTGATATGCCGCAGCTAATCACTTGGTCCCACCTCAAGCGGTTGATTTCCGCTGCACTTTACCGGCCTATCTTCATGTTCAAGAAGTTCGCCAAAGTCTTGAGGGCCCTGGAAGACGGCGACGGTGAGCCTTTCTACCAATTAGTTAAGTCGGAGAACTCGGCGCCACCGATATGCTCGATAGAGGCAATACCACCCAACGTACCAAGATTAGAGGAAGGGAACGATGATGCGTTTCCCGCAATTCTTTGCGCGGACTCGCCTCCTGTGTCAGACACAGTATCGGACTTTGTAGAATTTGTCGAAAAGCTTATGCGTATTAGCTCTGCTGCCGGCGATGTCAATGCTCTCTTTAGATTGGCTTGTATAGGCAGGACTATCAGACCACATTGGAGGTTTGAAGGTCCATTCGAAGGCAACACGAGTCATCCAATCCTCTATATAGCCAATATGGCCGATAATATTTCTCCGCTCATCAGTGCAAGAAATAACTCGCAAGGTTTCCCAGGCTCTGTCGTCTTAGTCCAGAACTCCTACGGCGTGAGTGATCATATTCTCCGACTTATATATGAATTCCCATGGGCTAACACAACCCCCCGCGCAGCATACTAGCCTTTCTGCCGCTTCAACTTGCACCGCCAGTTATATCCATGCCTACTTCCAGAACGGCACGCTTCCGAAACCGGGAACTACTTGCGAGCCTGATTATTACCCATTTCAAGATGCATATCCTAACCGTGCTAACGAACTATCACTAGCTTCCCACAAGTTGTCCCAAGTTAATTGGGGCTTTCAGCCCAGATTAACCTCGTAATTATCATGATGAATTACGCCGCTTTTTATAGCCTAGAGAATATATTATTTAACTACCCTTTGGAATATTTACTTTCGTAACCCGACTACCTAGCCCACCACGTAATATACATCAGATGAATCGATGTTTGACTATATATATCCTATGTAAGTAATTAGATTATTATGGCCCTGTCCTTGTCGTTCTTCATTCGACAAGATTGTTTTATCGCTAGTAATTCATTAGCAACCATGACCTAAGTACCTCCCAAGTACACAGACCGAGATCATCATGATACTTACGGTAATTCATAGTTAGGCATGAAGAGCGATCCGATTAAAGCAATTACAGAGGGCCCTACAGCTGCGTATGTTATGTATTTCATTACCTCCGTAAACTGTTGCGAAATAAGCAGGACGTTATAAGCAAGGCTAAGCATCAAACTACTCACTGCGATGTTCACAGCAGTTCGTTCCGGTGAACCCCATTCTGGAAGAACGGCTGTAATCGAATTTGCCAACGCAGATACGGTTTCCGCCGTCGATATGTCGCCTAGAGCTATTGACAATTCCATTTCTATCATACCTGTGTATATACCACCAGCGATGCAGGCACCTACGCTACCCCCGACGAAGGCAAAGCAGACAACCAACGCAGTAATTTGCGGCATTTCAGCGTGAGATACAACAACCTGGGCTGGGATAAGTAAAGTTGAGCCGACCATTCCGCTGCCGATTCCCTGGACAAGCTGTACAATGAATATTTCCACAATGCTATTTTCGGAACCCCGGAGGCGGAGCATAACCCCATAACCTACTAGACGTATGGTAGCGCCGAGTACGCAAATCCATTTATAGCGTTTTGTCTTCGCCATTGCTAACCCTGTAATAATTGCAATGAGACACTGCGTCACTCCGTTGATATCTTACGATAGTTAGCGTCCGGAAGTGGAATCCAAGTTCCTCCATGTTAACGGGAGAACGTAGTTCAATCTTACAGGTGAAAAATGTAGCATCACGAGCGTTAAGACCTCGCGCCACGGTAACCCAGGCGTATATATACGTATCTGTAGCCTAACGTTAGCTTGTTCTTAGACGAGCTTCCAGCGTTATATGACCCAAGGATGTAGAGATCATCACAATTCCCGTGCCCGGGATGGTACTTCATCCGTAGGGAGATGTTCCAAGGATGTCTTACGCGTTGCAGAGAAGCCGATGTTGTCCATGGCGATAAGTATGCAGCACAGGGTTATTGTACGGTTGGTAAAATAGCGAGGAGGCACTACGGGGTGCTCAGCGAAATATCGCTCGTAAAAAGGGAGCGCGATAAGCAACACCGTGCCAAGTGCAATCAGCGTGTCAACCCATGGAGTCTTCCAACTTGATGGAGTTGTTGCAGCTAGAGTCATCGGAATGAGCAAGAGGGCTAGACCACCGCTAAACAGGATCACACCACCAAGGTCGATCTGCGAACAGAACTTGTATAAGGAAATCTTTCCCCCGAGTACAAGCCCCTCCTTCTTTGCTCGGATCTGGTAATACAGCAATGTAGTAACAATAAAGCTTGCACAGAACGGCATGATAATAGCAAACATACCTATCCCCCAGCGCCAACCAATGCCTGTCGGTGCGGTTACACTATCAACAATGAAAGCAGCAACCCAGGGCGTAACCAGGAAAGGCCAGAATGAAAGGGCAATGCCGAAAGCTCGATATCTGGCAGTCGTCATGTCCGCAATCACGATATCGTTCATTAGATTTGTAGAGGACTGGCCAACAGAATAGAAAACGGACCCTGCGGCATAGGTATCGAAGGTTTTGGCCGAAGCCATAATTATATAGGCCAAGATATAGAAACCGATGGCGAGGAGGTACGTCCCACCACGACCGATGACATTTGACAATTTGGCGATAAGTGGTTTTGCAACAGCGAACATGATCGTCCCGGCTGTACTCAAGGTGGCAAGTTTGGATAACTCCCCAAACTCCGAGGAGGCATAGTTGCGATAAATATAGACAGTGCTGTTGTCGATCTCGCTATATCGGCCAAGCGTTAGTCAGTAGTCTCAGGTTCGTATCATTTCTTCGATATTTCTTACTATACAATCATGATTAGACATAAACTAGGGACATTAGCGTTATTGTCCTAAGCGCCACCTCATCAATACATCTCAAGTTTCTAAAGCTCAACCTACCCAGTGATGACGAGCAATCGACCTCTCCTACCCCAAATTGCCTGGACCACCTCGATAGCCGTTGTGCCCGTTTCGACAGAGACATCAGGAACTACCTGTTTCCCGGTATCGATCCCAGTTTTCTCCGTATTAGTCTCCCTGTTAAACCCTTGGTTATTTTGGAGGATAGCGGCGGCTGGTAGACTTGGTGGAGGTTCGTCAAGAGGACCAGCACCGATTGCTGCCCGCACAAGTTTAATAAAGGACATCGCTATAACACTCTCAGATAGGTACAAGGTATGACAGAGTACGTTGTCCCTAATAAGAAAACGAACAGCATACATGTAGCAAACGACCACGTTTAGTTTAAATACCTAACCTACCTAGGTGCTTAACAACGTTTCAACGTTATCCGAGCTAGGGAAGATAGTTGTGTACGTAGGTAAATACCTATATTTAAGTTGATTAATGTTATCTTGGATGGATTGTATATCACCTCTACTATACTACATCTGCATAATCCCTGCCGTAGCTTATCACGGATAGCCGATAGAGACTACACTTTGAACAGACCTCTCCTGGGAGAAGGTATTTGTTATCATTAGTCTCGGATTGGGGGACACCGTGGGGGTATGCAGGGGATGGAGACGGGGTAGTGAGATATGATTGGGGGTAATATGTACCTCAGCTACCGAAGATAAGGAATATTAACATTACGAGGTAGGTAGGTCTCTTTGAATTCGACGTGAGGGGTATCCGCGTAATATGAAGCTCGGGTATGTTTCTTGAGAATTATCTGCAACTAGGATCTGCTTCAAGTTTCATTACAGCATGACTATGGCACGTACTTTACATCATCTAAAGCTATAATTTACTTGGTGACATATCAAAGAAGTAATATTTATACTTCTTCTTTCCTAGCTTCAGAGGTTGTAACGTTTTCGTCCGACGTCTCCTTACCGATAATAGGCTCTTCGTGGTGAGCGACCACTTTCTCAACGGCGTGGACAGCTTGTTCAGCCAAAGCTTTATCTTCGAATACTGCCGAGAGTTGAGAGGTTAGTTTAAAGCTTATGCGTTTAGTCCTCATACGGCGTCAACTTACAGAAAGCTAATTCTTCTAGGGTTCTGCCGAAGGTTTCAGGGAATATGAAGTAAACAAAGGCTATCTCGAACGATAAGAAGCAGCAGTAAGAGATTAGATATCGCCAGCTAACGTTCTGAAGGCCGATAGGGTTGACGAAGGTGGTGAAGAAGCTAGCCAAGCGGCCGAAGAGCTGGAAGAATGCGATACCACGGGAACGCTCGGCAAATGGCCAGAGCTCAACCAGGTAAGCTGCGTGGAGGTTAGCAAAGGTTGAAAGGTGAGTCGCCAGGGAATGTATGCTCACTGTAAGTCAAGGCATTGTATCCAATATTATAACAGGGAGAGTATGCGAATATCCAGAAAATCGTAGCTGCATTCGCCGCATTATTCGGATGTCCCGAATCCTTCCCTGCGATAGCCCTCTCCATACTGATTGTCCACGAAATATAAACGAACAGCAGCGAGATGGTGCAGGCAAGGTACATTTGACGTCTCTTGAACTTGGTGACGAGGAACGCAACACACGTTCCGCAGACCAGTTGCCAGCATGCGCTAGCTACGTTGATCTGCTGTTTAAAGACCGAGTCACTCTTGCCAATCATAGCGAGGAGATCACCAAGATAGTAGGATATGAGAGTATTACCGGACCATTGTGTGAATAGACCGAGCATCTTAATTATAATTAGTAAACGTCTCGAAAAGACATGTATCACAGAGTTGCTATATCAGTCTTCGGGGCGGGACAGGCTCTCAGTCCCGACACGTAGGTAGAGGAGACTTGAGGAGGAGGAGGGAAGATTAGAAAAGAAAATTCGACATACACCGCTAATCAGCATCCGGCGACGCATACCAGCTGTAGCAGCCAGGTCAGTCCACGATCGTTTAGAGTGTTCAAGTTCTATGTTAATTGTTGCCTGAATCTGAGCAAACTCGGCCTTTACGAATTCAGAGTCTCGGTCACCCTCCCCGTGATATGTGGCTAATACATCAAAGGCTTCTTCTGAACGGTCTTGCTGAACTAACCATCTTGGCGATTCGGGTAGAAATCTTTGAGTAATATTAGATATATATACTCACTGTGGGGGTAAATAAGCGTGCCGGGACTTACAGGACGAAAGCGATCTGCACCAAAGATGGACACATCTGAAGCCAAGAGGGGATCTTCCACGCCATATTGCTTTCGATGCTGTTAGTTCCGAAGCAGATGGCGGCGGCAGTGATTTGGCCAACAAAGTATGCCACGTTAAAAAGCGAAGTCAGGACCGGACGTTCTTTAGGATACGCCAACTCTCCAATCAGTGATGAAGCAGAAACAATACATGTCGGTATGCCGAATCCAAGTATCAGCCGAGCCACTACGTACATTCCAGCTAATGCGTTCATTAGATTAATTATCCTTTTGTATTGATAACGAGCCTTTACCGTTGACAGAGAAACCTTGGATCAGAGCACCAATTACCATGATGACGGACCCGCCGATGATTGACCAACGACGACCGAATTTGTCGTTAACGATACCGATGAATGGCAGTGAAAGAATAGCACCGAGTGAATATGCGGCGGCAATAATTCCCTTAAGAGCTCCCTGGGGATCGCCAAAGTCTTCATTGTGCTTGTTAGCAAGAGAATCCTCACTAAGGGGCAACCTTATGGCGGACTTACATGTAATCCATGACGGCACAATCTGCAATGCATTGATCATTTGCGAGTCAAAGCCAGAGGTCAACTCGATCCCCATACACGTTGGAAATAGTAGAAAATAGAGATATCGTAGATTCGGCTTTCGATACCATCTGACTTTATCCTCGTTTGCGAGACGGGTGATGATGGGATCGGCCTCACTGCCCGACCCAGCGTTGCCGGCGCCACCCATTTCTATAAAAAGTTTGGTTGGTAAGGATCACGGTTAGGAGGCTGGTGAAGATGACGTTAACTCCATGAAAGAGTTTACTGTGTGACTGGCGGGCTTCTTTGTCCTTTTAAGTCGTTTTCCCCTGCCTCTTCTACCGTCTTAACCTTATAATAATGCTAAGAGAACCAGCTGCGCCGCCGGATAATATATTTCTACTCCGCCATGGCAGTACTGTTATTAGGGACAAACAAATATGGTCGGGCTGGTTTTCTAGCACGTTTTCCTCTCAAAGTCCATATGAGAATCGAGATTCCGGGGTAAAAAGACGGGGACCTACCACCCCAGCTTGCATACAGCAAAATCCGGGGGGAGGGTCGTTTCCTCCCCCATGGGTCATGGGCTGCGAGCTCGAACAAGCATCCCGCGGGCCATCTCGAATCTAGCCCATTCTGCTGACGCCAAGCCGTAGTTTTTCAAGACTCAAGTCATTGGACTCATCCGCTCGGCGTGCATACCACATCAGAATAGCGGCTTAGCGCACACACCAGCTTTAACCTCTTCCAGCCTCCACGCCAATCGCAAGTCCTATACCTAGGTCTCAGCTCAGCTAACCTGGCCTGCCAAGGCGGAATCGAGGAAGAGTTCGCCGATACATATCCCGCCGCCGAGGATTCAAGCCTAGTTCTATGCGTGACAATGGTTATGATGCCAAGTTGATGTGATCCTCAAATACGTCTGGTGGCCGAATTGCTAACCTTCATTGGTTATATAGGGGAGCTTGGTACCTCGTCTAGCCGGCAACGTGTCTCGGCTGCCAGACTGTGTAGTTCGTACCAACGGAGATGGATTCCAAATACGCTCGACTGTCGTGAAAAACATTGTTTATTAGTAAGATATGCGAATTTGAAACGCCCAGGCGTATAACTATGTACAGGGTCTATTGAGTCTATCTTTCAATATTAACTTGATGTATTATGCGTGACATTCTGCAGAGCCCCAATCCCCATGGTCTGGTTCTTTTTAGGCTGAGTTTAGTGACTCTGGAGCACTGGTGTACTGAACGCGATGGATTGGTAATTGGGGATGGTTAAATTATTTAAATCTGAGTCATGACTATAGGGTTTAGTTATATGTATACGGACTTCTATATCTGCGAGGTTTAATAGTGTATATAGGCTGGATTCGTTTAGCTTAGGTAGCTATTACTGACGCGATTCTGCTTCATACTACTGGAAAAGGGGTATATGATATTGTACAGATACGAGACTTGTGAACCTCGTGATGGTACTTTTCTATACTGGAACTTAGCAGAGTATGTCTGATACATTAAAATACTGCGTTCATCAAGAACCACAAGTTGAGGTTTAGGTAGCCATGACATGGCTACTCTGAGTCGAATGTCTCCTGATACCTAGGTACATAGGCCGTAATACCGCTAGCCTTTCATTAAAAGAGACGATGGGGTTGGATTACACTTGCAGTTGCTGCCAATAGAGAATATCCAAACGGTATAAGTTAGGTACATTAGGTCGGGTAAGTTAACCTCTTTATATGTTGTCGTACAATTCAATGGACTCCTGCGCTATGCGGCATTTATAATACATGCCGGTCTTCACCTTGTTGGCCGCTTGCTCCTCTATCTGCCTGGTCTCGACAAGTGCTGAACTGCTGCCATCCATTTCTGTTCATCATTGCTGCGTTGGTTGTTAGCGAGGAAACAGCACAATATATGAGCATATAAATCACTTACCGATCAAACCGCAAAAGCTTTCCTAACACTGGTACCAGCTGTGATCGGACCTTTTCGTCTTTCACCTCGAGGAATTGTAGTAGAATAGTCTTGAGATACATCGTATCCGGAACGGTGGAACCGGTACTGCTGGCGGCACCATTAACACCGCTTCGGGTAGAATCAATGCTGGATCTTCCACTGCTTGCGACATTTGGCGTGGTACCACCAACGTTGAATCTAGCCTGGATGTTCTTGAGCTCTTTGTTCGCTTTCTCGTACCGGCCTCTCGCTTCTTCTAGAAGCTTGCGCAAGTCTGCGCGCTGCTTTTCTGCCTCCCGTACCTGTTGCTCCGATGCATCTAAGGCAGACCGTAGATTAGTAACTGCTGCACGCATATCCTCTACCTCGGCTGTGGCTTTTTCTTCAATCTGCTCAAGCTCCTCACGACGGCGACGCCACTCTCTCTCCCTCGCTTCTAGTTCCTCTTTCTCACTGGTGAGTGTTCGAATCTCGCGTTCGAACTCGCGCACTTTAACCTTCAGCTCTTCGGACTCTCGCGCGCGACGCCGAGCCAGGGTGGATAATTCATCTTCGATGCGATCGCGCTCCTCAACGGCCGCTTCCATCCTAGCACGCATGTCTCGTATTTTTGCGTCCGCTCGCTCATCGACGTCAGCTAACATCCGACGCATCGTTTCGCCCTCGCGCGTCCGCTCCGAGAGGTGCTTCTGGACTTCCGCCAATTCTTCTTCGAGACTCTCCGTCTGGCTTTGCGCTTCCTTAAGCTGGATCGACAGCTCGGCTGTTTGATCGCGCATAGAGCTAAGAAGACCCTGGGCATTGTTGAACTGTTGCACCTTCAGCTCTATTTCCTCTCGAGTGGCAACTTTCTCTTTCTTTAACTTCGCAACTTCGTCTTCGAGTTGTCTTACTTTCGGACGGAGTGTAGACAGTTCTGACTGAAGGGATTCTAGTTCACGACTGGCCTTTTCGGCTTTTGCGGATAATTCAATCTTCTCGGCCTCCGCACGGCGATAGTCTCTACCAGCGACACGTTTCTCGTCTTCAAGCTTAGCCCGGGACGACTTTTCAGCGGCCAATTTGTCGTTGAGTAGCTTGATTTCGGTTTCACGATCGGATGTCAGGCGCTGAACTCTTGCAACCTCATTTTTAAGATCCTTCTCACGTTTTTCTAGAGTACGAAGCTCGCTCTGCTTAGAAGCCAGCTCTTCTTTGGTTACTTTCAACGCTGCAGATTCTTGGCGCAAACTTTTAAGCTCAGGCTGAGCCTTAGTTAGGACTTCGCGTAAGTCCGTGAGGTCTTTGTAGCGACTTTGAGCGAGCTGCTGAGCAGCGCCTAAATCCGACTGCAGAGTTTGGGATTTGATCCTTAACTCGTCAAACTCGGCTTTCATGGAATCAAAATCTACCTGTAGCTTAGAGCTCGCTTTAGTGCTAGACGTAAAAGCAGCAATCTCCTTTTCCAGCTCGGAGATTCGGGACTTCAGCTCTATCTTTTCAGATTCCAGGCTCTTAATTCTCTCCTTGGCTTCAACATGGTCGTGCCCTATGTTAAGCAAGCTTTCCTGCATGTTGTCAATCTCCTCCTTAAGGTCTTCCTCGGTCTTCCTCTGTTTCGATAGGCGCTCGATTTGAGTATCCTTCTGGGAGATCTCATCTCTCAACTTCGAGACTTCGATCTTGAGAGCCTCCGTCCCCGGATCCTCGAGGACAGATGGTTGAACATGATCTAACGTTTCATTTGCAGCAGCTTCCGGGGTATCGGTGGAAGCACCGCCTTTCTTCTTCTTCTTATTCTTCTTCTTTGATCCGCCAGCCGTAGGTGCGGGAACTCCTAATGAGTTTGGTGTGGGCGAACGAGATTGGACAGCAGATTGGATTTGCTTGTTTAGCTGCCCAATCTTCTCATCGCTTTCAGCTTTTTCCTTCTTCAGCGAGTCAATTTCATTAGTCAGGCCTCGGATTTTGATCTCCAACTGAGATTTTGCTTCATTCAGCTTTTTGAACTCTTCATCAGACTCTGTATTCCTAGTATTAGAAGCCTGGAGAATTGTGTCCTTCTCCTTTATCGTAGATGCTGCCTTCGATTTTTCGGCCTCGAGGTTGGCTTCCAAGCTTCGCAACGCTGATCGAGTCTGCTCGAGCTTTTCTGTGAGTGCGCTAATCTCTGCGTTCCTTGCGTCCAGCTGTGTCTGCATGGATTCCCGAGTAGCAACATCATCCCGAGTATCGCTTAATTCCCGCGTAGCCTTTTCAAGACTTTCTACCAAGCCAGCACTATTCTCTTTGGCCACTGTTAGTTCTTCCTTCAGGTTACTGATCTCAGACGTAAGCTTGGCGATCTCCTCAGACTTCGACGCGACCTCGGCCTGGAGCTGAGGGATTTCCTCGTCATAGGAAAACATGTCCTCGCTCAAGTCCTTAGATTCCTCGATAGCTACAGGTTTTTGCCTTGGGGAAAAGACGCCCAAGATGGATGATACAGGCGACTTGCTTGCAGAAGGCGACGCAGCTTGTTTCGTATCCTCGGCGACCCTTTTATCTTCTAACGTACTTCCTGCCTGGCTATCTGTCTGCATTGGTACCTCTTCGGCCTTGGCGGCTTTGAGAGTAGCAAGTTCGTCTCTAAGGGTGCTCAATTCCTTGTCAGCTTCTTCAAACTTCTTTTTAAAGCTATCCTTCTCGCCCGAGACACGCTTAAACTCCTCCATAACCATATCACCCTTTAGGTTTAACTGGTTCAGGTACTCAACGAGGGCTGCTGGGTCTTTGATGGTAGTTAAGGGCGTATTCTCGCGTAAGGCCCGTTCAAATGGTTCGATAGACGTGGCCCGTCCATGTGCGATTCTATACGACCGTAACAGTTCTACAGGATTAGCGAAACGCATGATCCGCTAGGTTAGCACTATGATTTACCTGGATATGTGGCTTCTAGTTTCTCGAGCTTCCTAAGCTTGCTCCTTACATGAGGAGGGAGTTCTGCCGGTGCAGTGGGCAGGCTTGCTTTGGGATTATCATCTTCTCCACTGCCAACATGGTCTTTTGCTTCGCCATTTCGCTCAGTCGCGCTGTCATCCTTTTCATTAACCGACGAAGTCCCCCCTACCGTCTTCTCTGGTGCCGCCGGCTGGGCAGGGGCATTTTCGATATCATCGTCGTCAAGTACGAAGGCGGCTTCAAAAACGGCGGGGTCGGTGTTCGCGGCGCCGTCGCTATTCGAAGTATCCTGGCTCGGCTTCTTGGTCTTCCTTCTAGCGGAAGAGTTGGTGCTATTTGTCCTCGAAACCGATCGCGGGCGTTGACCAGAGGCGGAAGGGGAACTAGTAGCAGATCTTTGCTCGGTGAGTGCTTTCTGACGAGCTTGCTCTTCGGCGATGCTGCGGTCAATAGCACCTTTTATTCTCTATATACATAAATATCGCATAGTTAGAAACCACGTCGCTTCAAATTTACCTAAGGTATCAGACATCGGACTGTACTAGACAAATAAACGTACAGAGAACATGGTGGCTCGACGAACTGCCTTCTTTTAAGGCGCCGGCGATAAATGCGACAATTGGGTACAACTCGAGATTGTAGCCATGCGCGTTTGAGATAATAAAGAATCTTTAAAGAGCGATAGGGAAATGAAGCATGGACAGTGGTACACGACGACGCCTAAAAAAAGAAAGGAAGGTTAAGATGTGTTTCCCGATCTGTTTCCAAAATTGCGACTAAGCGTTGGTTGGCCGAACTGAACAAGGCTCAGCTGTGTACGGATTTACCTAGGTACACAGGTACAATACCTTAGGTACACCTAAAGGTACATATGTATCAGGTACCGCATACACGTAAATAGGTGCTACGTGTAGTAAAGACACGTACACTTAATGTTACATATACCTGGTTAGGTACATGACATATGTACTTAACTAGTTACATGCACATAGATACCCGTATGTACGGATCCGTACGACCTCGATAGCTCCAGAGCGACCAATGAATTTTATTCTTTGTTGCTTTCCCTAACTGCTTCACGGTTCACCTGTAATGTCGTCACATCTGTCATCTGCCATCAGGTCGCAACACTTTCCTTGCCTAATATCAGTTCCTATAAGTATTTAAAGTTTCAAACTTGAATACAAAATTCTGGCCGTCGCCTTATATTTCTTATATTTTTTATAACTATTCTCGATTCCTTTCTTATACGACCGGCCCGGACGCCATGGTCTCTCGACGGTAAACCCCGTCTTTATTTCTAAGTCATGGTGTCTTTTTGGCCTTGGAAGGTTAGTGGGGGAAGAGAGCAACGTCCCAACCCGACGATTTCTTCATCTTCCATACCTATGATTCATATGTCTATTCATTCAAAGAAATAAAGGAATAAAACTAACTATTTATTATTTACGAGCAGGGCGATGTCTCTTCCCCGTCCTCTTTCGAGAAGACCCTCTCGACTCTTTCCAACAAGATCACAACCACCCAAACCCAACTTGACCGAGCGCGATCCCGTGCCCGTCGCATCAAAGTTCTCTGGACTCTCTACCTCGCCTTCGCTTACCTGGTTTACGCCGTTGTCTTGACCTTAGTGGTCGGGTGGCAGAATCTTGGCCCGTGGGAATGGACTGGAATGGCTGGCGGCCCTGTGTTGTATGTTGTCACCATGACAGTTCTTTGTTTGATATCAAACATCTTACTTACTATAAATTTCAAAAATCAGCATCTATCTCGTCAGGACCCTTACCAATGCCTACTTCAGCTTTCGCATCGATACACTTGAGTCTCGTCTCAAAGACTACCAAACCGAACGCGCCAAGACGATTCAAAGGCTAAAAGATGCTACCAAATACGACTCCACCCTACAGTTGCTGGAGAAGTATGGAGGTTCTGGAGAGAAGCGCGTTCCACCTAGAAAACAGACGATGGAGAGCGAAAACCTCGACAGCGAGCAGAGAAGAGGGGGCAATAAGAAATCACGACAAGGTACAGATTCCGATATTCCTAGCTCGAGAATCAACATTCCCCCTCCGCCAACCGCCAACATCCAAAGACCGCCTCAGCCTCCTATTCTAGGAGCCGTGGAGTCTCGCCCGGGCTCTTCTCGTCCGGGCTCTTCTCGTATACCCAACCATCACACACCACACCCAAACCAGCAATCTATGGAAGAATTCGCGCCTAATGCTGGCCCACTTCCGCCATCGTATTCCCATTATGATATTAATACAGGTTCACACCACTGGTATGACCGCATCATGGACCTCATGCTCGGTGAAGATGAGATGGCACCTAAAAATCGCATCGTATTAATATGTCAAAATTGTCGCCTGGTGAACGGACAAGCCCCTCCGGGGACGCAGTCGTTGTCGGAGTTGGGCAGATGGAGATGTATGTCCTGCGGAGCATCAAATGGAGAAATAGATGAGGGTAAGAAGATCATTCGAGAGGTTCTCCGATCAAACGAACCAGGTACTGCACTGGGAGGCGAGGACCGCGATAGTGATCTATCAAGCGACTTGATTAAAGGCGAGAATGGCAGCTCCGATGCCGGGGATACGGATGGAGGAGAGGCGTCCACTGCCACGCAGCAATCGAGCCAGAGGCATCGCACTAAAAAATCACAAATGGTTCCATAAAACTAAAATTTCAATGCGACTAAATATACCATTCGTCGATCTATCGTCCCATACCCATCCACCAAGTGACGTCTCGATATGGTATCTCTGTATCAGGAAACAAGGACAAGAATTACTACATAATAGAAGGGTATAGGAGTCTCCATCCATGTACATATAGGAAGCTAGAGGTCTTCGGTATTCAGAGGGGGAGGGGGGGGATTATATTGTTAAGTAAACAATTTATATATTTGTTATACGTACGGCAACGTTTATAAGCGCTAACCTAGTCCTAGGATTGATCAGGTAGTGTGAGAATAGTACTATCAAACATCTTCTTTCACTTGGATATCCGGCGCCGTTGTTCTATCAGGGTGATCCTCCGAAGGCGGGGCTATCGTCTTTTCAACGATCTTCCGGATGGGACATATAGTTGTTATATAACCCAGTATTTGCTTGATTTACTAGCTACCTACGCTAGTAATTGAACGGCATATGCCGCCGGCGTTGGGCATCGTTAACGAGCTGCACGATGCGGGATATACGTGAGGGTATCTCGGCAAGCTAAATTATCCCCGCATATTCATCCCAGCTCCGCCCTCTTTAAATACACCTTACCCCAGCGTAAGCTCACTCACGGTGATAGTTTTCATTGCTACCTTCTATGTTAAGAAAAGTCGAATTTTCGTACCAAAAGCCTTATTATTGTCCCTACAACGCACGTGTCCATCAACTAAGCGTTTTAGCAACCTGCTCCAAGGTGTCTCTCCGGAGCAATACATCTTTCTAGGAAGGTCACTAAATGCTATTCGAGCAAGTTCACATTGATATATAGGTGCTTGGTGAGGCTTCTGCGGGCGTTCGGGGTGTATATAAGACACGAAGTTCCCACCTGATTACAATTACCTCCGTGGAAGTGTCTTTCTAGCAATCCTCCTCTAGCGAAAGTGCCCCAGAAGCTTTTCTCTTATAAATACCGAATAAGCTAGATTATAGTTAAGTCCTAGCCCTAGGTTTTAACTATGAGGGTTTCACTTTCTCTTCTCTTTGCCACGTTGGTGACTTCTTCGGTTGCTAGTACCTTAGTATTAGATTATTCCGAAAGCACCATTCAAAAGCTTAAGGGCCGTCGATCTGCAGCTATAAAAGCGAGCACACAAAAACGGCAAGCAGCCGGAACTACGGAGAATGAGTTTCTTGAGAGCGGATGCCGGGATGTTATATTCATCTATGCTCGTGGCAGCACCCAGGATGGTAATATTGTAAGTCACTTTTCCCAGTTTATCTACTGGGCATATTGGTTAACCATTCGGCACATCTTAATAGGGAGACGACCCAGGTCCGCAAACTGTAGATCAACTCAAAGCTGCATTGGGTACAGATGCTGTAGCAGCTCAGGGGGTCGACTACCCGGCGCTGTTAATCGACAATCTGAGATCAGGTGGTTGCGACCCCGAAGATGCTGACAATATGCGAGCGTTGATAACGCAAGCGGCAACACAATGTCCGTCGTCGAAACTAGTAGTCTCAGGTTATAGCCAGGGGGCTGCACTTGTTCACCGATCGATCGAATCTGCATCAACGTCCGTTAAGAATCAAATCTTCGCAGCGGTGACTTACGGCGACACCCAAAAAGCGCAGGTACGTAATTCTCGAGTCTCTTACATTGTGTCAGGAAGTAGTACTTCTTCGGAAAATGAAAGAAGGAAATCAGGTTTCCCATAATCTACCCAGACCCATCAGTCAACCTAGAGCATACAGATTTTAACCGTTGCTACTACAGGATGGAGGGAAAATCCCAAATTTCGACGCGAGCAAGACCCTCATCCTATGTCACGACGGTGATGAGGTTTGTGAAGGTACATTAATTGTAACCGACGCCCACCATGAGTACCACGATCTTGCCCCTGATGCAGTGGATTTCATTGTTAGCAAGGTTTAGCGATGTCGACTCTATTTTATATTCGTTAAATTTTAATTTGTATGATGATCGAATACAGATGAGCCTTAAACCCGCCTGTGTGGACACGTCCTCCAGTGCGTATTGAAATGGGTACGATCAGAGAGGGTTGAAGTGTGGCCGCAAGGAAGGTATGTGTAGTAAGCCTACATCATGCATAATAGAGATTCATACCCCCACATATCGGACTCTCGTGGTAGATTACAGTCGTGATTTATGAATATAAGTCTTCAGCTATTACAATATACGTTATAGAGCCGCGAGTGAGCAATTGCTAGTTGGGGAGATAAACGTAGATCAGCTTTTATAATCGCTCATATACGATGATAGGTTTTATTGGACGCTCACTAGAAGTTGCTTATTAAATGAGCCGTTAAACTACATTAAGACGTGGAATAAGTTATTTGGTGTAGTCATAACTTATACGCTACCTGATGCTTGACGGTCTCTTGAAGCGGCGCTTATTACTATCTTCCTTTACAGATACCTGATCCCCCCACCAATATGAAGTTCTACGTATGTAATTACATGACTACCTGGTATTTATATTCTTGAATAAAGTTTAGTGGGGGTGGAGTGAATCGCGGATTATTCCGTACACTATGGAGCATTGGATACGAAACGATGGTTAGACCATGATGCGAATACATATACATATGTATGAACGGATCCTACAAAACAAGCGGGATCCTCAGCCGCTTCCGAATAGCAAGATATAGTGTCTAATCTCAGGAGTACATACCTAGATCAATCATTAGCGTCCTAAGCACGTACACTATGTATTGTACATATTAGCTACCTTATTTACCACTGCCGTGGGATCTGACCGGCACCGGATGGTGTTCCTCGAAAAGAATATTCCCTGTTTTCTACGTAAAAAGGTACGTATCTTATGCAAGATATATCATCCTAAAATTGAGCTTATAATAGGGGACAGGCCGCGTTTTGCTTTACCATGTACCCACCTTGCCCACCCAACAGCCCTGTCTTTCCATGTTCGAGAAGGCAAACCGATGTAACCCTAGGTCGTCAACGCGCAGGCATCAATACCGATTACAGTCAACTGGGCCGCTTAAGCAGGCCGTCGGGACACAAGCTTCGAGACTAGGTTAGCAAGTAAGGGTGATTCAACCAACTTACAAACCAACTTACACATGTATCCCTCCCATTCAGATCCGGACATAAAGTAAATATATAGATTGGCGCGTATAATATGTGATTGAGTAAGTCAGGGGTTGTCTACATAAGAGGTACCTAACGTAGGTAGTAATAGTCAAGTTTTTTGTCGTCTTTCGGCGTAACTTTAGGTATAAAATAAGCACGTCTGACGTGGTGAAGGACCTGAGAATCTTCCCAATTTGGTACAATCACTTTCGAAGGATTTAAGTGAGCCAGTGGAACCAACGCCTGTCACATCCTGACACTTCTTATACAAGGGATGTACAATATGCACCTCGTAAAAGCAGGACCAAACATTCATTACCTACCATCCCTCCTCATCAACTCTAATTCCCGCCGTCCGTCTTACTTTGCCTTTCATCAAGTGGTATCCTAGGATTTCATTTATCTTACTTGTCTCTCCTTTTCATCGGCGACCCATACTCTATTTTCTTTTCCTTCTTGTTCTATGAATAGCAAATTTACTACCTGTTTTTGATTCGATGCTGCCCTTTCGCTTAAGTCACCTCCGATGCTCGATGTGAGGCCCCGGTCCACCGAGATTTCACGGCCGTTCGCCTTCCTAGCGCGCTCATTGCCCATTGTCGTAGAGTAGATCATGTCGGAATTCCGCTACTCGACTGACAATTTCGATGAGCCGGAACCGATATCCAACAAGCCAGAGACGATCTGGGGAATCGTCATATCATGTATGGTATGTCATCTATTATACAGACATCGCGTTTGCCGATTCGGCTATCCACCGGATAATCTTAAGTAAGTAGAGCTAGTTCTCACATTTAAAACTCTAGATACTGTCGTGGATATGTGTTTCCCTTCGATTATACGTACGATTCAAGATTGTCCACGCCCCGGGCTGGGATGACTTATGCGTAGGACTTTACCTAGTAAGCACCGCTCATCGCACGTCTGGTAAATGGGCATTAGTTAACAATATCCCGCTCGGGAAGCTCACGATCACTGCTGGATCAATAGCAGTATGCTTCGCAGTTCCATGCGGGCTAGGCAAGCACTTTTTACAACTTGAGCCATGGCAGTCTAAGGGTTTCTTACAAACCTTTTACGTCGCAAACGCGGCATACGTAACTTCAACGACATTGATCAAAGAAGCTCTTCTACTACAGTACCTACGCGTTTTCGATCAATCAGTTTTCATTCGCCGGTTTCTTATTGCGCTGGTCGTTTTTACGGCGCTCTGGGGATTTTCATATTCCTTTTTAGCTTGGGTTCCATGCGTGCCCGTCCACGACTTTTGGGCCGGAGGTGGTCCAACTTGTTATGGATACGGCTCACAATACCCCAGATCATTTGCTGCTACATTTGAGAGCCACGCTGCTGTCAATATGGTTCTCGATATTATAGTTCTTATAATACCCTTACAGTTGCTTCTTAAAGAGGGTTCGACGGCAAATGCGCGTGTGCGGTTAGCCGCGTTGCTTTCTATGGGCATATTGTAAGTCTTTCGTTTCATGCACCCATTCTAAAAACAGAACCACTTACTCGTATTTTCAGCGTGCTTGTCTTTGCGATTTGGCGGCTGGTAACTCTTGTTGAGCATAGAGTAGCGACAATACCGACAAGAGATCCAACGTGGTATGGTCCCATTAGCATCGTCCTGGCCGTCTTGGAAGTTGACGCCGCGAGCATCTGTGCAAGTGTCCCTATTTTCTGGCCTGTGCTTAGGAACTTGGACTGGGGCAAGATCTTCGTGACACAAGAAGTAGATATCACGAGGGAGACGCGGTACATGGAAGATGACGAAGATCGTTTAACGCATGGGACCACGCATAGCAGAGCGGGCAGTGAGACGGACTTGGGGACTGGTAGTGCGAGAGGATCGAGGAATAAGGAGACGTACTATCAAGATTCGTATGTTTTAAGCCAGGTGGACCCTTTCCGACCATCGATTGAGCGCGTACATGCGAGTGCGAGGAGCGATGTGGCGAAGCATGGTTCGAGAAAATGGATGAAGTTATGAGATATGGTTGATTACATCTTTAATAAAATCATTGGCTATGCGTCTCTTTAATTCTTTTTGCAGGGTTACCCTTCTCTTTCTGTGGGAATATCCGTCCAAGAGTTGACCAACTGTGTACAGGAACAACCCATTTTAAGGACGAGTAGAGCCGTTGAAATATCGTAAGCGTAGAATCGTCTATTGATCAACTGGATTCGTGCTTTGCTTTGCGTTCCGATCCCTCCACAGTGCTTTCTTTTCCGACTCCTTTTCTGAGCCTTCCCATGTGCGTCCCTGAAGGTGTCTCAAACACAATCTTTTCCCGTCCTCGGGGTAGTAAAGCCAAGTAGCCCACTTACTCCAATCACCTTGCTTCATCTGGTTTCTCGCCCGCTGGCCGACAGTATCCTCGATGAATGCGCCTCGGGGGATGGAAAGCCTTGTTGGGAAGATGCGAGATAGGTAGTGCTGAGTAGATACTAGATGTGGCTTGTCGTGCCAGAAGAACATCGGAGTTAAAGGGACGCTTACTCCGGATTCCGTTATGAAGTCACGCTTGAGAGACGAAGTAAGCCCCTTTAACTCAGGAAATCTTGCGACGTGAGCCGAGTCCGCATAGGAAAGAAGGCGTACGGATGGAAAACAAATGTACTTGACTGGTGCACTCTCATCATCTTCAGTCGCCCACATGACATTGAGTAGTGACTCTAACGGAACATCCGAGACGAGTGGCCAGTCATGTTGTTGCACCCAGATAAAGGGGGTCTCGGTCAGCCTCAAAGCGGATCGTATAGCCAACCCAAACCCCAAGCGTTTCGAGGGCTCTATACACGTAACTCGTTTATCGGCTGTCTGAGCTATTGAAAAAGGGACGAAGTTTGCCTCGACGCCGCTATAACCAAATTCAGCCTTACCTTGGCCGTAGTCGAGTTTTCGTTCCTTATCATCGTGAACGAATTCCTCTAGAATCAGCTCCCTGACTTTTTGCTTATATATATCAAAGGTTTTGGCCCCTTCTGGAGTAACTTGTCCTTTCTTCAACCTTGCATGAGATGCAATACGATCGTAAGTATCAAAAACAACTATCACTCGGCAGGATAGCAATGTTGCGCAATGGTTGCGAAAAGATGATAAGATGGCCGATATGAGTTCCGTAGATGGTGCAGAAGGTGTCGGTGATGTAGTAATGATTACTGTTAATAAGCTAGAGATTAGCTGGCCCGACACAGTTGTTGGGGACATTGCGTTGGGTCAAATAAACGTAAGATCAAAACATCTCTATAGGCCACATAGAGATACAGTAGTTTCCTGAGTATGCGCTACTGAATTTTAGCCGTTGGTGTCGGATTTTTAACTATGGCCATGGGGAAAGTTATTAAACAATTCAGGGTTTCGTACGAAGGAAAGGGAAAAAAAAGTACGTTGGAAATCTGACTGACCTGAACTAGTAGCAGGTGGTCGTCAGCTGGTAACAGCTGAGGCTGTATTACCCCTATTCTATCTCAAAGCATAATATTACCTCATAATAAATCATTTCGAGGTGTCACTACCTACTGAGAAGCATTCGAATAGACTTAAGAGTGAACTGCTATTTTTAAAATTAGTTCTACATATATGGAAACACTTGTAAATTATCAAAACCTAACGCTACGGGCTCTTGATGCTATTCAGGGGCTGCTTCATCAAATACAAAAGAAAGGCATGAAGTAGAGTAAGGCCGCATCCTATGAACCACCGGAGTATGAATAGTATCATCTCCTCATAACTCCTTTCCAGGTATGTTAATGCAATCTTCACGTTGCGCTCCTAAAACCAGTCAATGCTTGTATCTTGTTCAGTTGGGTCCTGAGCATTGAGAAAGAGCTGGCGGTTACGGCGGTAGAACTCTCTGATGACACTGTCAAAGCCCGTAAATCTCTTATTATACAGTTTTCCATCTTCGAATTTCTAGTTGAATTTATACCTAGACAATCCTGCGGCTTTGCTCATAATATCAAGCACAAGAAGCTTCATGGCATGGTGCGAGCGTAGATGCTCACGTACTTCAAACTCGGTACCTCAGAAGCCACAGCTCTTCCACATGCAGCGGTTGCCGATATGGTTATATTTTACATGCTGATTCAAGCTGCCCTGTGTCTTTCCTATGTACTTGTTGTAATAGTGGCATTTAAATTAGTGCTGTTGGAAGTTCGCAATCCCTGCCTTTCTTTCTGAGCGAATACCGACATGGCCCGTATCAATTATGGTTTCTTCGGGGATGCTAGAGGTATAACTTCCCATAGGGCTGTTAATATTTGCATGTCTGACGCTTGTAAAGCTAGCGTCGCAGTGGTAGTTCCTAGAAACATCTGTATATTTAGACTCGCCGTAAGTAGTCAGGGGCCAAAGGAGGTATTTTGTATAATTGGCGGGATACATGTTTTCATCTGTCTATGTGCAATCCCGATGTATATGTTTGGGAAGAGATGTAGGAGCTGGACAAGCAGAGTGAAGGTGTTTGAGAAGGTTATGAAAGCATAGGGATTCTGCTAGGGAGACTATGTACTCGCACGGGCAGGAAGGAATATTCGATTATCGCGTCAACATAATACCTGAATGCAAACCATATATACTGCTAAAAGTTTCGTAGCCAGCTTATATATAATTCATGAAGTCAAGCAGCAGCTATACTCGATTATGATGCACCCAACTCGGCTTCAAGTGCATCAGCCATATCTCCTAATGTGTTGAACTTCCAGTCATAGATTTCCTTCTCCCTATTACCCATGATGACACCCGGTCTCACAATCCAAGCCGATTTTATTCCCATGACTCGTGCAGGGTGATGATCATGGAATTGGCTCTGTGCTGTCTGTATGACCTGGTCCTTGTTGACCCCGAACTTTTCCTTGACTTCTTTGAGCATATACTCAAAATTCTGAGGATTTGGCTTATACGAGCCGATGTCCTGAGCCGTGATGATGAGATCAAAGGGGAATCCATGTAATGAGCCAGAATTGGTTAGACCAAAGGAGACACGGTCGATATTGGAGAGGACTACCAGTTTGTAATGTTTCGATAGTCGACGGAGGGCATCGACAGTATCCGGAAAAGCTGGTCAGTTAGCTACCGAATTGCTGAAAGCTCGTGACTCTTCGGCTGTTGGTGGTGCTAAGCCTAGCTTAGTGGCGAGTTGGTGGTGTATAGCAGAGAGGAGCTGAGAATACGGCATATCAGGGGTTTCCTGTTGCTGCTTGACTTCGCACTCATGGTATGCCTCTAGCACCTTAAGACGGGGAATATCTGTGCGATTATTGGAAGCGAAGAAAGGCTCTAGAGCTGATAGTATACCGGTTTCATAGTCTATCAAAGTTCCATAGACGTCGAAGGAGAGAAGTCGGTAGTCTTTTAGATTTGCCATCGTTTTTAGTTGATATTATCGCAATTTAGATGAAATGTTAAGTACCTCCTAAGTTTAGTCTATCTTTTACTTAGAGTACCTCTCTTTTATTTATATATCTAGGAGGTAGGTACTGCATGTTATAATATATTGCCTACCTTAAGCACCCGGGTAGATAGGCACTTATTCGTTTCTGATACAATAATCGGAAAGGAGGCATTTCATTAATTGGTTTTGGAGATATTAAAAAGAGTGACGTAGATGACAAGAAGGGCGCGCCTTTGGAAATCTTCAATTTTTTATTAGGTAGGTACCTATTGTACCTAACCTAAGGTACCTAGCTAGCGCGTGGTTACAAGTTACACAGTACTTATCATCCTGCATAAGCATACCCCTAAAGATCCAAGTAAGAGGTACCTAGGTACCTACAGTGGGGAGAATTTAAAAACATCAAAGATAGTTTTAACACTTTATTACATCAACTTTAATATATCATAACTCAGTTAAATCAGCGTTTAAAAATAAAGTAAAAATTGTAAAATTTAGTTTATTCAATTTCGAATAGCTTGAATATTTTTTCAAACTTTTAACTGTTGAAATAAGGTTAATATTTAATAATACAATAAAAAGGTTTAAAATTACCCTTTTATGTTCCATACTCTTTCTTTCAACAGATTTATATGTAATTAAAATATTAAAAATCGTTTTTATATAGAGAATTGCATGAGGTTTATAAATATATGAATTTTATAATTATAGAAATTAAATTGGGTAAGTTATAGGTATATTTATAAAAATAAACCTTTTAAAAGTCGAAAATATTACCTTTTCCCATATAAAAGTGGTAATCTTTATATTATCACAACTTCAACACCAGTCTTTCGCACGTATAAAATTTTTAAAAAAGTTTTAAATCGGTACAATTATTTCTTTTATAATGATTTAATAACTTACCTAATTCGAAGTCTTGGTTACATATAATTATATTAAGTTATAGCTATTCGAAGTTGGTGAGTTTTGGTGTAAAAATGGCAATTGGACGTTTTTTATTTCACCCCACTGTAACATACCTTTCATTTTACATATTGCATGCATCCATCTTCAATACATCCATCACCAACACATTTGCCATTCGCATAAGCTGTAATATGTGATATTACATTACGCCCATTGAGCTAGCAAATCCGAATTAACCAATTGGCCGTTCTCCATTGCCCTATCACCGTGCAACGGGGACATCTCGCCATGCGAATAATTCACGTTTCGTTATGAAAGCAACGAGATACTCGACTTCCCGACAAAAGGCTTGTCAGCCATGCTCTACTGCAAAGGCAAAATGTGATCGGAAGGCGGGATGTTGTACTAGATGCGCCTTACGAGATCTATCCTGCTCTTATCCTCAGACTTTACTTTCTAGAGCCTCCTCGCGGGACGCAGGCGACAATACAGGCGACAGCACTGGAACCGGCCTATACAACTCCATTTCCGACCCCAGCATTTTATCCGCAACAAGCCCCAGGCCTGAGATATCAACTAGACCGGACTCTCAAAGCCTAAACTATCAGAGTCCAACTTCTCAGCGTCTGGCTGTTGGGCTGACACAGGCCTCTGGCAGTATGAGCCCAACTAACACTTCCTCGGCCACATTCATTACAAGCCATACCCAGGATGAGTCGATATTAAACACCACCGGCTGTGCGTCTGGGAGTTCCGACGTACTCGACTTTTCAAGCCTAGAACTATTCAGCCCTATTGATGTGGATGGTATTAGCAATCGTTGGCTAAACACCTATATTCCCATTCCTGGCCAAAAAGTTAAGGAATATCCTGCTACCATTACGGCTTTCATCTATAGGCTTCTTAAGTCTTATGCAACCGTTGCCGTACGTGGCCGCGGTGTACCCCCATTTATACACCCCTCTCAAATTTCGGTCGCATCGACGAGGCCGCCGCTTTCTACCTGCTTGAGTTTGGTTCGCATCTGCGAGAATCCGTTGCCAGGAAGTGAGAGTGTTGCCGCCGATGTATTACAAAGGGAGATGAATAACCTTTATGAGCAGCAGGGTACATACGACGATTTCACTCTATTGGCGGCTTTCCAGGCATATCTAATCTACTCCATGGTCTTGTTCTTCAAGCTTAGTCAAGTTTCAGGCCCCTTCCTTCGACAGGCGATTATAAATCTCCAAGAGCTTGCGTGTTCGAGTAGCCGGAACGGGCTTATGTGCATAGCCGAACAGCAGCGTGCTCGACCGCGATGGGAAGCTTGGATTGTAGCCGAGTCAAAGCGGCGGGCACTTTTCACGATGTACCTTTTCGACAGTGTTCTTTCTACTCAAGACGGTCTTCAGACCTTTCTCGGCACCGAACTACAAGGACTACCCGCCTCAGCAGACAAATCTTTATGGAGGGCACAGGTTCGACGCGACTGGGAAACGGCATATAACATATACTTAGCAGATTGGCCAGAAATCTTTCGTATCGACGAACTCTGGCCAATTCCTGTAGGGCTAGACGAGCCCGGTCTTCTCGAGAGACGCAACAGAGTAGACCGATGGCTAGAAAATGTCGATGAATTTGGCACGATGCTCTATGCGGTAACTAGTTGCACACACGGCGGTTGACTTTACTATTACTACCTAATCACACCAAAGCAATCTGCATATATCCTATCTCGAGTATCATGGTTTCGGTCGATAATGATAATAAGAATGCAAGAAGGGAGCCCAACTAAGATTGTTCCAACCGCTTCAAAGCCTCATCGATAGAAATTACCCGCAAGTTCATTTTCGGCAAGAGGTTCCCCAGCACGATCTGAGAGTATTCCTGATGCTGGTCCGGCGGCAGTTCTAATACATTGTCCGAGATAACATAGATACTATAATCTAGGTCAAACAATCGATAAACCGTGCTCATTACGACCCCGGACAGGCTTAGACCAGACTATAGATGTTCATGTTAGCCCTACCCGCCCGAGAAAAAAAAGAGGAAGGCCTAGTCAAATACTATGATGATGGTTTCGATGTTTCGTGCCTTCAAAATCTGCTCTAGGCTATTTCCTGAGCCGGCATACCACCTTGTTTTCTGAAGTACGATGTCTTTGCTATCGATCTCGAAATTGGACGCTATCTGCACTGCTGAAGATCCAGCGACGAAGGAACCGAAGTCTCGAATGAGCTTCCCGAATGGAGCGGCTTGTGCTAGCTCGGGCTCTCCTGGATTGAAGAAAAGAGTCGTAAAGATGATCGGGGGTCGCAGGTCCTTTTTGTGAACCGCTTCATTCCAACGCACACAGTTAGAAATGAATGCTCGTCCTTCGGTGGTGTTCTTGACGGCATCTATGAGAACCGTCATCAAGTCAAGATTGAGTACGGCGTAATTCTTGCCGAAGTTCAAACCGCCCTGAGGAAAATATTGGTCAGGCGCCATTGTTAAAGACGGCCGTAGATCCCAGGGATAGTCGACGGAATAACGGCAAAATCAGTATATCCTATATCAATTGTCGACCATATTATCCGCTTCGGATCCAGGGGCTGCATAGCTCAAATCCGGAGACCGGTGGAGTTTCGGATGGAGCGAGCTATGATTGGTTGTTAATCCGGCCCTGAACTCTCAACTCCGTACACTTGCCGGTGCTCAACTCCGCTCTGAATTGGATATATGAAAGACATTCCAACTCGTACTCACTGACACATCCCGCCACTACAATTAAAAAACTCCGAATAATAAGGACGGCAATAAATCATGGTATCTGAAAGACGGCAGGAAGTGCCACTAAATACGCCACCGGTATTACTACCCCCGGGGGAGCCATACAGCATCTTCGATAAGCGGCAGAAGGCTCTAATCATACTGGTTGTTTCGACCGCCGCAACCTGTAAGTGAACGATCAATAACACCATTGTGATCTTGGCCAGCTCATACAAACCAGTTTCCGGATTTGCGTCGAATATTTATTTTCCCGCACTTCCTACCATTGCCCATGACCTGAATATTTCAATAGAACTTGTCAACCTTACAGTGACGTCGTATCTAATTTTCCAAGGTTTAGCGCCAAGCCTCTGGGGCCCTATCTCAGACGTCAAGGGGCGCAGAGTTGCTTACGTCTTTACTTTTCTGGTGTTTGTAGGCGCATGTGTCGGCTTAGCAGAGACGACAAACTACGCGACTCTTATAGTGCTAAGATGTTTGCAAAGCACCGGTAGCGCAAGCACTATTGCAATCGGGTCCGGTGTGATTGGCGACATTACCACTCGCGCTGAACGCGGTGGCTTCATGGGAATTTTCCAGGCGGGTTTGCTCGTTCCCGTTGCTGTCGGTCCAGTCATTGGAGGCGCTCTGGCAGGATCGTTAGGATGGAGATCAATCTTCGTGTTTCTGGCAATTTACGGTGGCGTCTTCCTAATACTGCTAATCGTTCTTCTCCCTGAAACACTAAGGTCGATTGTTGCAAACGGTGGCAGGAAGCTGTCGAACCCAGTTGCTGCATATCCCTTACGAATTTACCAGAAACTCACCAAAGTAAGATGGAATCCTGAAGCAGCTTCGGCAGAGCCTGCAGCAAGAAAGCATATCGATGTCATTGGGCCTTTACGCATTCTCGTTAGTAAACACGCAGCACCCATTATCATATTTCTTGCCATCTACTACGCTGTTTGGCAGATGAGCATCACCGCTATGTCATCTCTCTTCCAAGATCGCTACGGCCTTAGCGAGACTCAGATCGGCCTAACATTTATCGCAAATGGGGTGGGGTCTATGATCGGAACGCTTGTCACAGGCAAGGTTCTGGACACCGATTATCGTCGAGTCAAGGCTCAATACGAAGCTCAATTCACACAAACCGATTCCGAAACAGGCAATGGACAAATACGATCCACGGCATATATGGAAGATCACTTCCCTCTTGAAAAGGCGCGCCTCCGGCTCATACCCGTCTTCTCCCTAGCTCAGTGTCTGTCCATCGTTCTCTTTGGTTGGACCATTCAGTATCCCGATCGCGTCCACATTACCGTCCCCATCGTTTCCACGTTCATCACCGGCTGGACTGCCGTATCTACGCAGTCTGTAGTCATGACTTACCTCGTCGACATCTTCTCTGACCGCAGCGCCGCGGCCAGCGCAAGTTTGAACCTCGCCAGGTGCTTATTCGCGGCCGGCGGCACAAGTTTTGTAATGCCCATGGTAAACGGCATCGGTGTCGGCTTGGCGTTTACGATATGTGCTATCGTTCAAGCTATTGCGTTATTGGGCGTGGCCATCCAGTGGAAATTCGCTGCTTCATGGAGACAAAAGAAAAAGGAGGCAGGCTGTAGTAGGTGAACTTTAGAAACGAGACATTATGGAAGGAATCGAAAGGGTATTGGTGTACCCCATATTGCATTATTATGAATGCCCTAGCGCGGTTTTTTGGTTTTTTGGTTTTTTTCCTCTATCGCATCGTATATTGTAAGAAAGTGAGGGCTAAAACAGGCTGCCGCCGGCAAGCACATAATAGATGTAATTTAGGCCAGAAGTATCGATTCTGTTTGGTAAACATTCTAGCTATATTCATATTACAAGTACGCCAAATACACATTTCATTCAAATTAAGCATTGCTTTGTTCATGGAGATGATAGCTATCTTTTCATGAGTCCGAGTCGCTGTGCTTGCGTATTGTAAATACTTCGACCTCCCATAATTGTATTAAACGACGAGGATCGATTGGGACGCAAACTGCATAAGAAAAAAAAAACCTCAACTCTGACTATTCGGAATAAAGAGGAATTTTACCTCTTACATGCCAATATTGCGCGACTCGGGGTTATGAAATCGGCCATGTGGTTGTATTTAGTGACATGTCTGTTTGTGAGACAGGGTTTCTATCATAGCTCGAGAACGTGACAGTACAATATTAAGTATTGCTAGCTAGACGTCGTTGGTGATAATGGTATATACCATGATCTTTATTGGATCAACGTCCGACACCCTCGTAGTTCATAATTCCTCAGCGTCTTCGTATTAATGTAATGTCTCGTGTGTACAATATGTTGTCTCTCTCATTCATCCACTGTCGCTTTCTTTCCCCTATCTTCTTTCGTTCATTTCCCGCTTGGCCTTTCATATCCTCAACTATATGCGAGTATTCTACCCACTTGCGTAATCCAGCACATGTTGAAGGTGCCTATGAGATTGCGTCGCGTCTTCCTCTCCTAACATCAGGATCCTAGATAGATATTCCGTCTCGTCAGGCTTTGCCGTACTTTTACCCACATTTGCCAACGGCAAAACCCGCATGGCTCAGCCGCAAGCCTAGCCCGTCTCTCTTGGTGCAGGCCCCTAGAGCATTTTCTGTAGGGTACGGTGAAGTTGCTTATCGCGCGACTAGCATCTATGGCTTCTTCGCAAGCCCGTTGGTAGATGGCCTGACCGGTCAAAATCCTCCAGCACGAGGGACAAGTTGCGTAGAGAATTAAGTCTGTGCACATCTTGTCTAATGCTGGAGATTCATGCAATGACTTTGATAGCCTGGTCCGATGTCACAATGGGTGATGACAACAATTAGAGTGTATACTGCTGATTTTTCTATGCTGGGCGTGCTCGCTAACCTCAAGGCCTTGCAAGGGCGGACATTAGAGGAGGGGGAACGTATTATGTGATATGAAGAACATGCCGTAGAACTGGATAAGGCCAATTTTCACCAAGACATAATCGTGAAAGGATGTTATGAGAAGATGATAGATGAATTGATAATTGGCCTCGAATATAGGACGGATTTGACGGGATAAAGAAAATACAGAAACAGAAAAATCAGGAAGCAAACAAACCTGGAATTGCATTGTGTTACCTATCGAACCGCTACGAATCGCCGCAGCAGCACTGTCCACGATGGGTGCGTATATGATGACAATGCACCACCGTCCAAAATAAAACTGTCCAGACATCATACCATCTTATCCCTACGTTCCATCGGAAATAAGTAGATTAAGTTTTTGTCACGACCGTGCTCGATAGAAGTCAGGGCTACGCACATTTGATTCTTGAAGAGTCCTAACTCCGGATAATCGCTAATGTCGATGCTGTTCAATATGCAAAACATATATACACATACCTGAAATTCATCGGTCAATGACCTACGGCGGCGTATATATTATCATAGACGGTAGCAAGCCAGCCCTCGGCGGGTCCGGCCCTTGCCACGATCCCCAGGCCCCCAGCAGCCCAAAGCGCCGCGAGTGCGACGGAGACGGCCTGGATACCCCACCAAGCGCGCCGTCGCCTCTTTCGTAGCTGCTTATCAAAAGTTATCTTCTTCCAGTTGGCGGGCGGCGTGAGATTCAGCCACTTAGCCCAGCCCCAAACCATATGACCTACTCCGACGGATAGTAGCAACGAATATGCTATCAAGGGCGGTAGAGGATGTCGGGCGAAGCCATGTGATACAAACTGCAGCCCAATGTTGGAACTATCACCATCAACGACGAGAGGTAAGATGCGGTTCATGCCTACGTGCGCGGCAAGAAGCCCAACGAAAAAGTACCCAGAAACCGAAATATAAGTTAGGGGAGGCCACATCTTTGTACTGTGTTTCTGGTTGGGTGACTTCGAGTGATGTAGAGCCCACATACCCGGGGTCTCACCGCCGTACCGCTTTAGATTTTGGCGTCGGCGAAGTAGGCGTATGGCAATACCTGATGTGACGTGGGCAACGACGGGGAGGGCGACCAGTAGGGGCTCGGTGTAAGGGGTCTGATAGAGCTCACGAGCCATAAGAAGAAAGGGTTCGGAATAGGGAACAGATTTGTAAACCAGAGGGATTACGGCGGTGTTTGCGAAATGGAGGCCAGCGAAGAAGGAAAATGTATAGGAAGAATAGCGTTGGATTCGAGATACTGGAGGTGTGTTTTTTTGGTTAGTAAAACTTTCGATCCTATTGGTCCAAGCGAAAGAATTGAAATCTTGAAATCGTACAGTAATATATCGGGCCATGACCGCTACCGCTAAGACCTAAGGTAGACGTTGAGCTGGTCGGTGTATGCCTCGTACTACGACTCGAAGACTCTTGATCTTCCTCAGGTAGAGGTGGAAGGTCCTTGTCGTAGAGGGACGCATTGTCTATAGGCAAAGGATCCAGCTGGAGCAGAGATATCAACGTCTCTTGCGAAGCCTTTGGATTTAAGGTACGATGATCGGACGCCATGAGTGGTTAAACTTCATTCCTTGCGGTTGCGACCTTTAGTTTTTAATATATTAGGTACTTTGGTATTTTTGAATTTGGGAGCTGGTATTGGAATTGGAGTTGGTAGAGATTTTTGAGTTGTTCGTTGTGGCCTAGAACTTGAAGTTATTAGTCGTGGTCGAATGAGAAGAGAAGGTGCTTGGGCTAGGTACCTACCTAGGTACCTACCTAAACTTTAGGTTAGGTATTGTACCTGTTACCTACGTACGCTATACCTTACCTAAGGTGCCTACGTGTATGTACCTAACTCGCATCTTGTATGGCATCTGCATGTGTTGTACATACATGTACGGATCCGTACCCCGCGATAGCTTGCTTCAGGTATTGTACATCGGATAGGTACCTACCCACTCGGTAGTAAAGCTTGGAGCTTGCTTGACTTCTAAACTTCCCATCTACATTCTTTATACGCAGCAAACCCCAATACGTGCCACCATGCCTCCTGTGAGTATACTATCCTAGCTTCGTATCTAATGTCATAACTTGTAGTCAGATAACTTACGGTTCGAAATATATAGCGACACCAGACTCTCCCGCCAGCGCAGACCTCCTCGGCGCGCGCCGCCCTACAGTCCTTCTACTGCGAGCTCTGTTCTAAAGGTTACTCGCGCATGAACGACTATGAGGCTCACCTGGGGAGTTACGACCATAGTCATCGTCAGCGCATGAAGGATATGAAGCAAATGGTTAAGGACCCGACGGCGGGAGCACGCGCAAGAAAAGCCGAAGCTAAAGCAGACGGTCTCATCAGCATCAAGCTCGGCGGCGATTCTAATCCGATCGGAACTGGCGGCGGTGGTGGATTTAAGAAGGGAGGCTTCAAAAAGTCTGGCTTCAAAAGCGCCTTTACGCCTATCGGTGGAACGGCGGATGACGAGAGTGTTAAAACAAAAGAGCCGGATACGAATACAAGTGCTAACAAAGACGAGAAAGCTATACCAAAAGATTTAAGTGCCGAAAGCGATACGGAAGATGAAGGTTACGAAGTTTATGATCCACGATTCCCAACGGATTGACGCGCTGCTGGGCGGATTGGTACCTAGATTAATACTTAGGATGAGGTGTAGCATCGCCGCTGGCATCCACGGCGACGGAGGGTTATTGAAGTTGTAGGACCTTAGATCTACGCGAGACTCGGATCAAAACACAGCCATGGCACGCCGTGTTATTGCTGGCAGCCGTACGGATCCATCCGAGTAGCTCAGATGCAACATAAAGACGGATGAAGCCTCCTTAGGTGCCATAGGTTTGAGGCTTAAAGGTAACTAGGCAAACCACAGCGTAATATTCAGATTCACGATATTAGATATAGGCTACGCGTATGTACTTTTTATTCTAGGGCTACAGCCTCATCCGAATTAATGACGGTATTACCTCATCCCCCTTCCAAAGGACCCTTACTCTTACTGCTCTCTACCTTACCAAAAATCCAGCGACAGTATCCGAACCAACATATGTCTTACAGCGCAACTCTTCCTTGCCTCGCTCCTCCAGGGACCGACGGTAATGAAAATATGCGAAGTCTCGAGAAGAGATGAGGTTCCAAAAATTCCCAACCCGGCCGAAGCCAAGATGGAGTGGTCAGTAAATAGTTTTCAACTAGCAAAAACACGCACTCGGATTGCTCCTCACTGTGACGCGTAAAGCCCGTGCACTAAGATGGGGAAGAAAAGAGAAGGAAAATTTTAAAAGCAGCGGGAGGGAGGGAATTCTTAAGTACTACGAAGGCGGTGTACGAAATCAGCTAATATTCTGCCGTGTGGAGCTACATGTACTAGCGTACACTAGGTGTATTAGGTACTCCACTTCTTTTTCTTTCTTCTCTGTAACTGTACCTTTGTATTTTCGAGTTTCATTGTTGTTGAGGCCAATCAGATAATTGAATACTTTTTAGATTTATTAAGTACATTCACTCCGGTAGTGGATACGTATCTGTTTAATCAGGTATCTTCGATATAACAATTCGATAATAATTCAATAATAGCATTAAAAAATTGAAGTTTCTGTCGTAACTTGGAAACCTCTAAAAATTGTACTTCTTCCTCGCTTGTTTCTCAATGAGCGAAGGCCAAAGATTGTACAAGTACTGCGCAATCCCATACGGGAACCAGGGCACAACTACATTGCCTCTCACTTGTCTATCCATCGCGTCGATGCATCTCTTCGCCACGTAATCTACTTTGAGACCGCGCTGGTTTGGACCCGCGTTAATGGTCGCTGGGTCTGCATCGACGGCAGAGGCGCGGAAGTTGCCTTCGATAGTCGCCGGCAGGATGAAAGTGAAAGTAATCTTCGGATGCTCAATAGCGAGCGATTGAAATAATAGCAGTGATGAGGCTTTTGTAGCAGCATAAAGTGCCCGTGTCGGTGCTGGGATCACTGCGGCGACCGATGAGGCCAACAGAATAGATGGAGAAGTTGAGGTACGCGTTATCAAGGGGATAAAGGTCACCGCTGCAACAAAGGGCCCGTAGACATTTCCCTGGGTGGTTCGAGTAGCAATATCCAAAGCCTTCTGTATGTCGGTACTGTTCGCGTCGTTTTCCTCCCCTGGCTTTACGTTGGCCAGACTCATGACAGGCTGCACAGCAGAGACTCCAGCACATACGTGAAGGGAATCCAAACCACTCCATTCCGCAATTACTTTCTCTCTTACTCGCACCATATCTTGTACATCGCTGAAGTCGGCGACAACCCAGAAGCACTTCTCTCCGCACTCCTGGGCTAGTTTCGAGAGCGGTTCTTCGCGCCGTGCAACAAGGCACACACGAGCACCGCGAACTGCATATTGTTTAGCCACGGCGCGCCCAAGCCCGCTTGATGCCCCTATAATCAGAACCCGCTCTTCAGTTGGGCAAATGCTACTCTGTCTACTACGAGTAATATCCCGGGAGACGCGCCAGACGAAGGACAGAGTGGTAACTAAAATAACGAGTGTTGTTCCTGTCAAGGGGGCATATTCGAATCGTGATGACCAACCCGACATGTTGAATAATATGATTCGTACCTAAGGCAGATGAGCTTCAAGAGGTATTAACGTTGGCCGATCAGACGCCCCCAAAAAATAAATACCTACCTAAGGTATGTACATTCCCAGCTTAAGAGTCTTTTGCTAACGAGTCGGCCCGGATCAGATGGGGCGGGGTTCTTGACAGCTGTTTGTCTTATTCACATGTAAGTTTACCTGTTGCCACATCCACTCTATAGTCTTCACCCTCGTTCCTCATCTTCAAGCTCCCTTGATGATTCAGGTGCTTAATACCTAAGATTTGAGAGAGACAAGCAAGATAATATATTGTCGTCCACCATGTCTCTCCTGGCTATTCCGCACGAATTGTTACTACAGATAATGAAACATCTTCGAGATTCACAAGATGTTCAAACCCTCCAATCTGTTGCTCGTACTTGCAGGGAACTCCGTGAAGTCGCTGAGATGTACTTATATTCTACTGCTGAGTTTACCAGACTATCGTCCCTATATCGCTTTCTAGGTGCTGCTACCCGTGCCGACAAGCCTAATCGAAAAGGCTACCTACGAGATCTAAAACTGCTATACTCCAGTAATCATTATGACCCTTATTATAATCCGCCTTATCCTCCGGACCTCACCTTGTTTCCCAATTTGGAATCCTTCGTCTCGGAAAGTCCCGAATGCAAGCATCAATCCATCAAAGGAACTTACTGGGATTTTTTCAAGGAGTCTTATACACAAGCATTTACGCAAGCCTCCCTTCTAAACAAGTCCCTCGAAACTCCAAGACCTCTTCAAAATCTCAAATCTCGTAAGTCCCAACGTGGTCTCATGGCACATATATGATACTTACTTCCCAACGCAGTTACTCTCCATTGGACTGAATCAGGGACGAGATTTCGGGAGATAGCGCCGACGTGTCCAATCTTTTTACTTCCTCGACTACAATCCTTGGAAATATCCTGTGCCAGGATAGGCCAAAAGAAACCAGCTGATTGGGAAGCAGAAAAGCTCCAGGATTTTCAACACAAAACTATGCTCAGATCCTTAATCTTCACCGAATGCGTTGTTTCCCCTAAAGCTCTACACGCTATTCTCTCATTGCCGAAAGCGTTACAGAGCCTGGCCGTTTGTGAGATATTTTATCACCATGGGGTTATGGGTGACTCCTCCGCCATCAAGGATACCGATGCATTCAACGACGCCATTAACCAGCAGGCCCAGAGTCTCGAGAGCCTCCGTATCTATCATCGTTTTAACCAATATTCACGAGATGAGAAGACTCTAGTCCTCTCACTTTCCAACTTCCCAGCCCTTTCAAACCTTCAGCTTGGACCTTTTCGTGGAACGCTATTCAAATACACCCTTAATACGCCGGTTCCACCGGCTCTAAATTTCCTACGGCTTGATAAGTATGGAATATCGAGGTTAGAGCGGGGTCGTTCCTGTATGCTTCTTTCAGGTCTATCGGTCGAGGAGTTGCTAGCAAATTCGGAAACTTCCGGCCGACCATTCACGCTTGATATTTCACTCCAGCATCTCCCGCGTCTTCTTGGGAGGCCACTTTTCAACCGTAACGACGTGCGGCCAAAGATACGAAAACTTATAAATGAACTTGGGGAGCGATTTCAAAAGCTCCAAAACGCTTCCCGCCCTCGCCTAGAAGCGAACCCCGAATCTTCTCCAGATTGTAAAGCATATTCGCGTTTGCGCATTCTCACAAACAAGTCCCAGCACAAGATTCCACCACACCTACACAATGAAGCATTACCCAGATTCGTAGTTCGGTACGACTCGTCTCACCCAGGCCGATTTCTCGATAACCCCTATACTGCTAACCCACTCCCTCCCGATAGAGACTTTAGTAGTGACGACGAGGACATGGATATAGCTTTTCGTGACACCAACAACTCGGATCTTGATATGCATTAGGTACCTTTCAAATTCCTAATCTACGTACTTTACCGATCGCTATGAGACCCCGCGACTATGGCTTGGGTGGGGTGCATCACCTGTATTACATTCTCATGATAAAAGTCTAGTAAAAGTTTCCCATCTCAACCAAAACTAGGTCCCAATACGTACGATGTATCTGATCGGTCATTAAATCTGACCCATCCACGTCAGACTTGAGTATTTCATAAAACTTCAGCTAGGTAATTAGAGAGTCGAGGATATAATATAATTTATCATGCTCATCAAAGACTGCCCCCGGAATTTGGCCCTTATGTGTAGAAATAGAACGCGCCGTACAGGCGGCCGGCTCAGGAATCCTCGCACATCTCCTAATTTGCACCTTAAATATTTATACCAAGTATTCTTCTTATTTCTACATGGTCAAAAATACATGTCAATATGCCGTTATTCCTCGTGTTGGGCACCTGCTTTTTCATCCACAGCAAGTCGGCGAACGCACTTATATCCCCTAAATTTTCGAGCGGGCAGTTTCTCTTCAAACTATGAAAAATATAATTAGTCAAATGCGTGATAGACTCAAATATTCGTGTTTTCTACTACTTACCATTTCGTCAATCTCTTCTAATGTTCGTCCTTCATACCTTACTGTTAGCAACTGGTTCGTTGATTGATAGGAATCTGGTTTACCTTGGACCTCGGGTAGGAAGAAGTATACCCAGACCCCAGCTACGATTGAGCTTGGGAACCAGATATAACCGTATCGCGGGCCCCAATTTAGAGAATCGGGATTAATAAAATCTATAGGATCCATGATTAGTTCTTGAACCCATAGACCGGCTTTGATATGTGCTTTGGGATGCGTATCTAGTAACCTACAAGGAGCTGTGAAGGTAGTAAGCCAGGCGGCGAAGAATGCCACAGCTGCTGCCAACCCAAAGGTATAGCTACGTAGACGCTGTGATGGAAGTTCACCACCACACAACCAGGCATAAGTCGCGACCATTCCCTGCAAGTCTCTTGTTAGTCTCGATCATTATCCTCTTTGCTAAATGGTTTCAGTTCTTACATTGTAACTCATCATATAAAGACACGATAACGCTACAAGAACTTCACCTGTGGCCTTTGCGCCAGGGTTTTGGTCGTATACAACTGCGACGATTAATTGTAGGATGCCACAAATTCCAAGACCACCCATAAGAAGCACGCGACGTCGACCATACCGCACCACGATCAAGGAGTTCAGAACGATGGCAAATAGGCCAATTGCGCTGAGGACGCAACCCATCGCGAAGGGATTAGCTACCTTGGCCATAGTGAAGAAGTATGCCTTGTACGCTGGACAAAACTGTAAGTAACCTTCGATATGAGTGTTTTGGGTGGATGACTTTACAGATGATAAACATGGCACCTGTGGCAGCCTGTAGGGTTACTCCGCAGACGGCGAGAGTCGTACGTCTCCTATCTATGGGATTCTTGAACATATCTAACACGCTGACCTGACTACCCATCTCACGTTCTTTGTCAATAGCCGCCTTTATTTCCGCGACTTCGATGTCGACTTTCGCACCAGTCGGCCTTAGCCATTTAAGGGATTTGTGCCCATCTTCGATTCGATCTTGCAGGATCAGCCAGCGAGGAGACTCGGGTATAAAGAACAGACCAATGGTCAAGAACAGAGGAATAATGAAGATAAGTCCTAAAGGGATCAAATAAGCTGATCGATCAGGCCGTGATGCCGTTGCCCAATCCACGATTGTACCGATTAGTGTGCCCTAATAGGCTGAGTTAGAACTGATCAACCATATAGCGGCATGTTTGACTTACGAAAGAGGTGCAAAACTGGAACGCGGTAAGGAAGAGCCCGCGATATTTGGCTGGACTGCTCTCTTGAATAAATAGCTGAGAGAAAGTCATAAAGTAACCATTCGCTAATCCGTTCAGTAGCCGTCCAATATAAAGGGCATTGATATCTGTCGTAGTCATCATTATAATGTTAGAAACAACACAGCCAAGGCAAGCCATCCACAGACAGGCCTTTCGACCGAATTTGGCAGCTACCAAGCCTGCGGTAGCAGAGCTGACGAAGGCGCCAAGCGTCATCAGCGATGTAATTAGTTGCTGCCGCACCGTCGAGATGTTCCAACCGATTGCTGTGTTCGGAGCTGGATGGCCGTAGATCTATACAAATGCTGTTAGAATACGTAACCTAATAATCAAACATAGATACCCAAGGGATAATGCTTGGGTTCACGAACCTTGAGGAAACCTGGCATTGCCTGCATGCCTCCTATTAAACCGAAGTCAATACCATATTGAAACGGCGACAGGACCATGAGCCCGCAAGCCACAAAGCATCGCCAATGGGCGCGTATAGTGTCGTCGTCCTTGATCGTCATTTTTTACCTCTTCAGCGCGCCGCGCATTCTGTAAGCTGAATCGAGGTAAGCGGTCGTGTTTTTGAGATAAGAGCTACAGCGCCCTATACACCAGGCGAGGCGTGGTATTTACGTGTGCGCCAGGATGGCAACCATGCAAGTGCCGAAGGATCTATGGAATTCCCCAGGACGCCAAGAAGCGCTCATCTCGTTAGCTGACCTGTTACCCCATAACCCCAGGTTTGAGGATAGCTGCGGAGGTCCGGCAATATGGACAGTCTTATGGAGTTCTCCACACGCTCCAAGTCTCCGATAGAGCGCAACCCGTTAATCTAGGGCTATTCAGGCTGTTGTAGCACTCTATATTGCTACCAAAGGGCGAGCCCCTAACCTTTCCCTATAGATAATTAGCTAGCGAGGCACACGCGTAGATAACTCCACCATGTTAGCTTCCAGGATGGCAAATATTACCTAGCTAGCAGGATCTAGAGTTTCTAGACACATCTGATAGCCTTTAGCTAGACGCAGCGGTCACAGCTACGGAACCTTCAGCTCGGCAAATTTTTCGTTTACGATTCCTGTCACACACAGTCCTCTTCCCTCACCAATGAAGGCTATCTGTCTATCATAGAGGCGTCTACTGATGAAGAACAGCCACGAAGCAGTTTTGATTATTTCCACATATGCTAACCTCCTCCCCTTCTTCTTGCTATCGAAAAAGCCCAGGTAATCAGGAGATTATGGCGTACGTAATCTATTATTCATTAATTATCAACTCACACCCTGTAGTTTGCTTCAAATATCAAATGAGTCTAAACAATCAACGTTATGGTTGCAGTCAATGCACCTGTAGTGCAACAGGAACGGAGAAATAACACCTTCAAGACTCCAGGCGAAACCAACCTGTGTTTTGGGATATAGAGCTCTTAAGTGGCTAGGTGTGGTCACCCAAAGCAATATCACACCAGACACCGATAAAAGAGCAACTATCATGAGAGCGTTAGACCTACGACGAGCCAGTAAATAGGCGATCGCGCGATCTTAACTATCAAAATCAGGCTCAAAACGTTTGTCCAACTGTAGCTTGCCGCTCTTATGTTTCACTTGTGAAACATTAGGTATTAACATCCCGAGTACAGCATAAGCCCCTATTCAAATCGGATTACAGACCGCACCTACAGTAAGGTATATAAATTCGGCATTGCGCATTTCGATCCTGCAGAAAATTATCGTCGCATAATACGATACGACTATCAGGGGCAGGTGTGTAGTAATTTAGATAGAAGGATGTTGTTCATTGATCTCAAAGTAACGTTCCGTATTTCCGGTCCTTCGTGTTGAACATGTCGTGACGCGTGCTATTCTGATACATATATGCCTTATATCGAAATCCCAGCGCGTATCGTTACTGTATAGTCATTTCCATGAACAGATTTCCTTGAATCGACTAGGCCAATAGAAATATTCTAAGCGAGCGTTTGCAGATGATTGAATACAGTTTATCCTAGTGTTCAACACTCCCCCCTCAACTACATATGCCAAACCTCCTCTTGATGATACTAAGCCCCGCTTCCATCTCCCGGAAGCTGCTCGAGCCCTATTCATTCGTTAGCAATCAATTAAATAGGTAGCTAATGTATAGAATTTGACTTGCATCCTTCGGTGACCTCATCGACAGTGTTTGGAACAGAGCATTTGTTCGCTTCAGCAAAGTCCTGCGTCTTAACTCCCTCACAAGTGTTGCCGAAGCAAGCTCCATCCATTAGTCTCTGGAGTGCGTCGTCTTTCCATCCAAATACATAATCAGCGTGTTGACCGTATCCGGTACTAGCTCAACGTTAGCATCGTGGTTACATACGCGGATTTCATAGAGTGAATTACTTGTCTCCTGTACTCAGGACGAACGGTTGGGATCCATCCTCTGGCCAGTCATCTGGATTGTTAAACGCGGTTGTATCCCAGACAATCTATGAATACTTTAGCTTAGATTATATATTCTCAAGTAATACGGGCCTTATCGTATAAAATGGAGCCTTATAATCCGAATTTCTTATAAGAAAAGGGGTAGAGGTTGCGTACCTCGAGCATTAGTTGTGGAATTTTGATAGGGTGACTCGATGGACAGTCTCCGGTGGTAGCGAATGACGAGGGACCTCCGACAGGGTAGGCTACGTGGTCCTGATGGTTTGGACTGTCCAGGCGCTCTCCGTCCCAGCAACTATATTCACGATTAGTTTCCACTCGCCATATCCAGGTAATAAATATAAGTAATCTTACGTCGGAAAGTGGATATTAGATCGAATACCGCCTAAGCACGGCGTCGAGGGGAAAGTTTCGGTATCCAACTTTGGATCAGCACAAGGCGAATAATCGTCGCCCTTGAAGTCGGGGCCTGTAAAGCAACGAAAACAGCTCTGAGACTTTAAACCCGATCCTTTCTTCTCCCGACGCATAGAATCTCCGACAAGCATACGGAATCCCTAATTATAAGAATCAGTTATTACCAAAAGTATATTAACTTTTCATTGGCCCTACTGGTTTAAATGCAGTGACCGTCTTCTTGCCAGGCGAAAGGTAATAGACAGTAACGCCGCCTTGAGATCCCTCGAGAAACCTATTCGGGATTTGGGGCACTCGCTTGTAAGTACCGTTTCGCGCCTTGAAGTAAACATTTGCCGTCCAATAGTTGGAAAAGTCGTCGCTGAAGCTGCATGTCGTACAGGTAGCGAGAGACGAGACATCAGCAGATGAGATCGAATCATTAAAAGCATTCTATAAGATTTGAGTAGAGTATACTGAGAAGAGATATTAAGGAACGTACTCCTCCGACAATCTATGAAAGAATAAGCTAATAACATGGTTCAAGGGGGTTCTGAGAACCGTACCTGGTGAAGGTGCGGAGACGGATTCACTCCTGGATTTACGAGACTAGAGCAACACGAATTAGGCATAATCCAAGGAGCCGATCCTAGAGAACTCATATCTTACGGGTCAAGCCGTTCGATGACAACCTGGGAACATCCGAATCGAACAAGGCTATTAGCTCCGGGTCCTTTTATTGGAGTTACCTGCGGCGCCGCATCGATGAGCGCCGCAAAGGATAGTAACGTAGACCAAAACATTATAGCTCGTCCAAGCGAACCAAGAGATGCGATGGGGTATTTTTCTATGGAGGAAAGATGAACAAGCGTAGGCAGTAATGCGAACCACATTGTCGACGAAAAATAAGCCATAATAAGCTAAAAGTTTCTCAATATATCAGTAACATATGCCGGTCGTATGCTCTTTGATATAACTACACGGTAGTAATCTATATTGATTGTTAATATGATACTGGCCACTCCAATCCTGGCTCTGGCCCCTAGGATATAAACAGATGTAACCAAAGGAACTGTTCATTGGCCTATGGCTATTTTCCCATAACTACCGGGTACATATACTCAAGTCTTAATTGCGATTTTTAAAAGCCCAAGGGAAATTCCCCTTTCACGTCACTGGTGCCCTCCAGTGTTGATAAGGAAGTTTAAAAATAGTATCAGGGAGTTTTAAGATTCCTAACTATGTGGGCTACGACCAATTTTGACAGCGATAGGAAGCTATATATTGGGTCAATCATTAGCTACCTAGATAGAATATACGAGAGGGCACGGTTATGCTAGATTGCCCTTTGTTCCTCAATGCTACTCCATGCAGAGTACTCATGGTATTGCAGAATAAAACTATGCATAAAAGAAGCAAGAAATACTTAAGCATACTAGTTATAAGTAGGATTCGTAAATGTATAATACAATCTACCCTCCGATACGTAAACTTCATGCCTTGTAAATGCCCATCTCCATACCTAATATATGCGCTTCCAACCCAATTCCAAGGTATCTAGCCGATCGCCATGCATAATATCTAATATAAAACTATATGTACTCACTTCCACGTAGTTGAACCGTGGTAAGGAAATAAACGTATGGAAATAAATGATAAATGAGAAAAGGGGGGAGGAAGTCCAACTCATGTAATCATAACATGCTAACACACATCAAGGCCATGCTGCCTCCACCCCCAGCAACTGATCCATAATGCTGACAGCAGCAGTCCGATGCGCTTCAATATCGACGTTTAAAAGGAACTCAAACTTGTGCCGCAAGTGTTGCTGAAGCAGATCCGCATTGAGCCCGACCCCCGGTGCGCGACCTGTGATAAGCAATCCCGTCTCGGCACTTAACCGCGTAGCCTCTTCGGCTCGGGGCCGGCACACCTGGTCAAAAGCTCGGAGGGCAGCCGCAATCGCAGCTTTCGACGGTAACCGACCGATAAGTGTGCTCAGGAGTAACGCCTCCTCGATGGAAAGGCTTATGTTAGCGCCCTGGAATGGCAGCATGCTATGGGCGGAGTCTCCGATTAGGCAGATATTCTCAGTCACGTAAGTTGGCGCTGGCCGGTGTTCGAGCAAGCAAAGAGCGGCGACTTGCACAGTATATACACTCAAGATAAGCCGGAAGGGTGTTAGTTGAGACTAAGATCTCTTCACGGGATAAATTTCACTTACATCGATCGTACCCTGACAAACCGGTACTCTATTGCTTGAGAACGCTTCCCGGAACTCGTCTGGAGTGAACAGCTTTGCCCATGACGGTTCCGACAGTCCATCGTCCTCCCCAATGTCATCTGCTTTACCGCACACAATGATCTGGACTTCATTGCCGTTATCTAGCAAATCATAGATGATAGTAGTTCCATCTCCAATCCAACCTACATGGAGGGGGCTGCTTGGGTCTAAAGAATGCGTGCCCATTAGCTGCTGTGCCCGCTGGAGAGGTACTTTGATAGGCAACCCCCAAAACCCTGTAGAATGCGGCTTGACTAGAGATTCATCGGCACCAAGAACAAGCTGTCGCGTGAAGCCGTGGGTGCCGTCCGCGCCGATTACGATGTCATATTTCTTTGTTGATCCATCCGCAAAGGTGAGTAATAGTCCTTGCCCTGAGGGTAGTTCCGTGACAGATGTTATCCGCGTACCGGGATGTATCATATGCGGCGGTACACAATCAAGCATCTCCATTACAAAAGCCTGACGGCTGACATTCTTCTTGCAGTTTTCACTGAAGCCGTTGATCTCTATCTCTCTTCCAACATGAGGACCAGCAGCCACTCGTGTCTCAGTTGTAGTGAGTACGGCACCGGCACGGTCGAGGCAGAATTCCAACTCCGGATCGATAGTAGCTAGAATATCCTGTGCTCTTGATGTGAAAGCAAATCCCGCACCCTCATCTCTAAGCGTAGGCCGCGACTCGTACATATCAACAGTAAGATGAGGATACCGCAAAAGCCCGCGCAAAACTGCAGCGCCAGCTAACCCCCCGCCTATGATGGCAACTCTTATTGCCGAAGGAGAACTTGACATTTCTCTTGGAAGGTCCGTATGTAGCTAAAGGAATGGTATGAAAGAAAGGGCGAACTAGTGATGAGATGACTTCTAAGATAAGTTGTTAGTGATATTGGATTCCATAATCAGCAGAGGAGGCCTTTTAAAAAGGCAACCTCCTGATATATGTTTCGGCATTGTTTAAATAAAGCTATCAAGAAACATGCTTTATTCATGGTGATCAAGGGTTATTCTAAGCATCACCTGCTCTGTATCAGGATGTGAGCTGTGCAGCTATGCTCTCATGCGGTGCGGGTCGAACATGACCCTTGCTGGGATGTCATGATTCTAATACATCCCGCCATTCCATTCTTAGCATAGGAGTAGGAAAGCTTTACACGCAATAGACTTTACTCTATGGGGGGAATATAGGGCTGAGAAGTCATGTAGATCTACACTAGGTTGTAGGATCAGTGGAGGTTTGACCAGCATAGGAGGTGTATGTATAGTGTGTATCGGATCGAAGAATGAAAGAAGTCCTAATCCAAGAACATGACTGGCGAAAGCAGTAGTGATCTTCCAATTTATGTAATCATCTAACTGCATAGAACACGGCGTAACAGCTAATAAGGGCATAATCTTTGCATGGCTCAGTGAGAAGGGATCGTCCTTAGCCTCAAGTTCCAAATCTTACAACATTAAAAACTACTTGCGACAAAGGCGCTGGAGCATTTACTCTATTTGGCAATCGACGCGAAGTATTCTGGACTAGCCGCATTAAATATACCTTAGCCAATCTTCAAGCCGTATTTAGATCTTATGGGACTCTGCGAGATCATCTTGACCAGGGTTTACCAGTTGCGATTGGCTGGTAAAGTCCATCCCAAAGACTGGGCAGTGAAAATCCAATCCATCCTAGGCACCCGTATTTTTTGATTCTAGCGACGGCACAAAAAGATCAGGGCCAATTGCTGAACCACAGGTAATATAAGGTCCCGTGTGTAATACTAAATGCATAGCAGTAATTCGACGATGGTTTTGAAACATTCCAATTTCCCCGAGTCTCCTTAGTATCCTTATTTATTTATCTTAACAGGTTAGTCTCGCCTTTACGTAGGATACTTAGATATTTCATAACCCAGCTGCCCAGAGACTAATATAGCTTACCTACCTAGATACCTAGTCAACGGAAAAGCCGAAGTTGAGGTCGGTGAGATCCAACGACAAATAGGCACCTGAATTGTCGATACTGAGAATAGTCTCAAACTTGACAAAGACCCCATCATGATACAGCTGTAACCCCTCGGACCGAGTTCTATATCCCGGTCGACAGATCTTTTCTAGATCTACAATTTGACGGCTCTAATTGGCCAATTGACAGAATGATATTCCTGATTTGCAATCGGTATCTCTTAGAGACCCAAACAAGGGTCTGTAAACTAGTGCCGTTCGCTACCAGCCGTTTTTATACAGATCTAAGTGATATGTTTTAATGAGTGGCCAGCTCGAAGGTTGACTTTAGTCTTTAGTTATGCAATTTTGATGGAGAAAGCAGATAAATCACCTGCCACCTGGTAGCGAATGGCGCTAGTTTACAGACCCTTGTTTGGGTCTCTACTATGTAAGAGATAGCACCCCGGTTCAGGCAGCGATATTTTGTTCATGTGATGAAAAGGTTTGCTGCATAGCGATTGCTAAAGTTGAAACTATCCATATGCTATAAAAGGTCACTGTCGCGAACGAATCACCGAGTGTTAATTATGGGTTACGGCGGATTCAGCACGGGGAATAATTGCATCTTAGGTAGAGAGAGTAGGAGTCAGCGTTAAGGGTATCGATTCGAGTTTCCCCATCAGCAAAAGGGATATGAGAGGTAGAGATGGTTGGCGTCTGACCAGTTAGTATGGGCATATTTTGTTAAGGCTAAGTACCTAAGGTAGTTAAGACCGAGGTTTACAATAAGGTAACTTTCGATTAATGCCTTTTTATTTGTTCTAAGAACTAATTCGTCGTCACCTATCTAAACACGATTCAGAGAGGAGTTCCCGAGCTACGAGCTCATTTCCAAAGGTTGGGTTTTAGACAAGCGCGTTCGTATGTTGGGGGTATCATCTACTTGCATCTTAAACCTTTTCCATCATTGTCATCATCATAAACTTCTACTGACCCCGTCACATCAAATCCCATAGCCGCTATCGTACCGCAAAAATCCCCCTTTTCTCCCCTCAACTATCGGCGGCGTCTAACTTGGCATATATCGTATGCTCCTATTCAGTAAGGCTTGAACACCACCGTCTCTAGGCTGACATGCCTAGAGACTTGAGGATCAATGTCCAAATTTTGGTGTTATCAAGTGTATCTATCGCAAACTTTTCTTAACCTAGAGGTCAGCGATGTGAGTTGAAGTGATATAACTACCCTAGAAGCTTGTTTATGTTTCTAACAGCTTCCAAGTTGCATTAGATCTCCTCCACTAAGCTACCTACAGAGGGCGAAATCCAGCCTCTTCGAGCTGTTTACCCTCTGGTAGCATTGGACGACCCTGCATAGGAAATGGCCAAAATAATGGATTATCTAGGCTTTTAGCGGCATGCACCACCGGTCCGGCGCCGCTTCCAGATCCAAAACTAGGCATTGGATCTTGTTCAGACCCTCCCTTATCTTGACTACCATCTGTGATGCCCTCCATTTTCTCCTCGCGGCCAAAATGCGTTTGCGACGTGGGTGAATCGGACCTTCCTTGTGCGCCTCCGGGACCGCCAG